ATATAACTAACTGAACAAAAAGGGAGCAAAATTAATTCTTACCCATCTTTTTATTATGTACATCTAGTTCAGGAACTCCAGAATATTTACCTCAGTAATATGATACTCTCTTCCAGTTACTGAATTTAAACTTTTAGATCAAGTAGATAATATTTATTTCTCATTTGTTTAATTACCGACTCATTATGGTATTTATTTGGTGTATATAATTTAATTAGAAAAATTACTAAAATTTGGTTAAATGATCTGTTAATAATTACATTTGAAAACCTATACCCTCTCAGTGCCAAACTCCCTCAAACTGCCTTCTGCCCACACTATTTCTTGTGTGCTTACTGTGGAGTTTTGCTTTGCTTGTGAAGTTTCCTGCATTGTGATGCAAACTTTTCTCAGTATCTCAAAAGATTGCATTTTCCATAGGTACTGTAGGTTGACAGAAGATAACAGTCTGCCAACTGGCTGGAAATGATTTCAGGTTGCACAAACCTGCTTTATCAACAAAACTCTTAACCCCTGTTTAAATGTTCAGAACATGTAATTCAAAATTAAAGAATGTGCAAAAGACTGTACAGACAATGAATTGCTAAAATAACTGTAATGATGCACAGTTCTACACTCACTCTTTTCTCTCTGCTGAAGGACTCCGCATATCAGGCAAATTCTGATGAGAGTTTTTGTTAATTACGTTTATGTTACAAGATGTGCTATGACAGTTCTATATAAAACCAGTACATTGCTTCCATTATAGTTGGACATTTGCATTAAACTACAAAGAGTTTCCGTCTTTATCTTGTTCCTGGCTTGAGACCAGTAGCTTTCTTGCTTTTTATTAGTTGCAGCATAACCTAAAATAGAGGCTGAATAAAGTAATTGACCAAGAATACAGCTTCAAATAATATTGTCTATGTGCCCCACTCTGTCTTTCCCTTTTCTGTCTCTCCCTAGGGGAAAAGCAGTTATCTTCCTTATGCTAAATCCAGTTTCTATCCACAGCAATCATGTAAATCTTGGCATCAGTCTCACAGCAGAATAGAAAGTCAAATCAGCAGGAAACTTCCCCATAAGAGCAACAGGCGGCCCCAGGAGGAAGAAAAAAAAAACACAACAAAAATATCCTCTCAAACTCTTCCATTTATTTTCTTTCAAAAATACGAGTTCTCTCATTAGAAACACTTCAGGTTTTCTTGTATTTTTAAAGATAATATGCCTTCAAAATATAACAACTCATTGTTCGGCAAGCCTGCCAGCCTTTCAAAGCCTTTTATTTCAAAGCTTCTTTCTGAATAAACAAATTTATAAAGAGAACAGATTGAAGTTTCTGCTTCTCCTAGTGTTTTACATAGAGGCTACACAAGCTGTCTTCTCTCAAAATGAGTCAGACCTTAAATTATAAAGTAACTAAAAATTGTTGGATGCAGCTGGTGGGATGGATTTTCTATCTTTTACATACAGACTGACTCTAAAGCAACAAAAATATTTTTAATTGAAAATTCAAAATGCTAGAGCAAACCCCCAAAATATTTTTTATTATTACAGTTCTAAATGTTAAATAATACTATTAGTAATTTGATCAGGGATGTTTTAAATGTTTAGAGATAGGCAAAGGAAGACTAAGTGTAATACAAATAACTATCATATAAACATGTCGATAACATAATAAAACTATACATGTGGTTTGTAATATAATTTTAATTTGTACATATTGGACTGATGTACATAATGTCTTTTTATCCAGTTATTACATTCCACAAGAGCTGATTTCACTTCAGAGTGAATTAGTCCTTTAAGGAGAAATTCTCCTTTTAGGAGAAATTGTCTTCCTCATACTAAACTGAGTTACCCTCCCAAAAATGAGAGATTAGTTACTAGGGTTATAAACCAGAGAAAACATACCCAGAGATACAAAGATTTCATTTGCTAGAGCAGAGATTCAGGGAATACAAATATAGGAATAAAATGTCCTTAGAAGAAATGGAGAAAGGAGTTTTGGAATAAGAAGGAAATGTTAATTAGTGAATGGAGCAAATGTCACTGAGTAGCTTGGAAAGCATAATGTTAGTAAGTACAAAATAATGTGAAAGAAATGGGAAAAAATATGTCTGAACTCTCACAGGATTGTAGTCACCTCTTCACTTAGTAAGAAGACCTGGGGGTCTCTGTGGAGATCTCAAACCGTGTGTAGATTCCTTGATAGAGCTTCCTATAGTTAGTACCTGAGTAGCAACTGAAAATCAGAAAGAGGTTCAGAGTACACAAGACTGGAGTAGGCTTGCAAAGGAAGAAATCAAAAGCCACACTCTATGTGATTGTGTGCCAGAATATTTGACTTCTTATTAAAAGCAGGTACAAATGCAGTACAGGTACAGTCAGAGACTGGAATAACAGTGAACTCTGCTGTCTCTGAAGTCAACTGAAATCACTGGGAGCAATTCTTACTTAAAGATACTTTTCTTCGAAGTGGAGTAACACTACTGTGGGGGATTTGAACAGCTGTTGATGTGTCAGTGGCTGACTCCCTGTACTGCCTGTGAATTTTATGTCATTTATTTGAGGATAGGATAGCAGTGCTTAGGTCTGTATGCAAACTCAAATAGTGCTTATGGTTATACACTTACAGTCTCATGGATAGGCAAATTCTTCCCAGGCTTTTGCAGTGCCATTGCCAGGGTCCCACTGCTTGGAGAAGAGTTCATCCAAATCCATGTATAACAGTGCCTTCTTTGCAGGGCTGCAGTTGTTATTTCCAGTCACCAGCTGTATAGTTATCAGTACATTTTGAAAGCTGCTGAGGTTCTGTTTGCAAGGCCCTTGCAACTTCTTACAGTATGCAATAAAGTGAGGACAAGATTTATCTCTCATTTACATTGCTACAGATTTTAAGCATACTTTTCAACATGGAAATGTATATTTGCAGATGCTGCTTTTATTAGGTATGGAGACCTGTGAAGTGATGGTATTGTTTTGCATCATTATAAATGCAGGAAAAAAATTGCTTTATGGACTAACTGTCCAGCAAACATCTTAGTTCACTTCGTGCACCTCATCTGTTATTTGTAGATTATAACTAAAATGTAATTTTGAAGCTTTTTAAGCACAGTATTTCCATAAAACAATATGAAGAGAAGAAATAGTTATAAATGGAGAAGCCACGGCATGTCTACAGCAAGTACTCCATTTCTGAGTCCAGGCTGAATATGTCAGGGAGCAATGGGGGCTGGCTGGGAGCGGGGCAGGCATGGAAATGGCAACCAGGTTCAACTGCTGAGGCAGGTCGACAGTCATGCTGGAAAGTCAATCCACAGGTCATAACCCAACCTACTGAGGGTTAGAGTCCTGTGCTTACGGGGCAGGTCCTTGGTGATGGGGTCAGGCAGAAATCAGGCCAGGAAGTCAGGTCCAAGGGGCACAGGCAAGCCCCAAAACACCCAGACTGAGCTTAATTAGAGCCCTTGGATTTATGGGCAGGCATCTGGGGGTGAGGCTGGTCCGGGCCACTGAGGCCTGTTAGTGTTCGGACCTGTCTGGCATGGGAGACCCTACCGAAGGCATGTACCATCACCAGCACAGCTTGCAACTGCATAGGGGTACACAGGCTTCTTTCCCACTCAAAATGGTTAGGGCAAGCCATTCACTCCCTACTTTTCTGCCACCCATCTACACCCAAACGCAGGGAAATTCCCAGGAACATCCCTTTGTCCTGACCACCCTTTCAGGACACAATAAATAAATAAATCCAAAACAAACCGAACCTGGGCAGTAGCTGCAGGTGAGCCAAAACCAAACCATTCCGGCCCCCGCACCCACCCGGGGCTCGGGTATCTCCCATGGCCCCAGCCCAGCCAAAACCCCCCAACCCCCAGAAGAACCCACTATCGTCCCCCCACTGTGTTACCACAGATCTTCCCTGGCACTGCTCTCCTGCGATGCTCCATACAGGGCTGCCCCGCCCGCCCTCCTGCCGGTCTGAGGACCCCCATGGCTTGGTGGCCGCGTGGGCACAGCACAGCCTGGTGGGCAGCACGTGGTGGCCCCACAGCACAGCCCTGGTGGAACCAGCACATGGTGGTGTCTGTCCTTGTTAGTACAGTGGTGAGTGAGCATCCCTGCCTGGCACGTGGGAGACCTGGTTCAACTTCCCGACGGGGAGGTTCTCCTAACACAACACTGAATTACAAAAACGGCATATTTGTTAAAGTTTAATGGGTTTAAACATTTTTAAAAGCTGAAGTACATAAAAATTTATGTAGTGTTTAAAAAATTAGGAAATTATATGCTGTCTGAAACTGTCTTTATTCCAACATGAACAATGGTAAATTTGGCCTTGTAGTGGGCTCTGCAGCTTTTACAAGAGATTATAATAGAAAGGCTCATAATTTTTGACATGCAATCAAAATAATCTACTATACTTATTCTTCTATAGTAGTAAAAATATAAATATGGTTTATATCTGTGAAATTAATGAATGAGCATAATACATAAATATTTCAATTATTAGAAAGAGCTATAAGAGTAAAGTGCCAGTAGAGACTCAAACTGCATTATTTAACACTCTAATTTCAAATTAAAAAGTCATAGAGTTTAGATAGTTTGCTTATAAAGTATGTCTTCATGTCTGTGACAATAATGATTGTATCAGTGTGGAGATACCCAAATTGGCTTTCAGTTAATAGGTAACACTTCAATCAAATCAGCAAAGCTCAGCTGTTTCTTCCAGAAGGCATTTCTTACTTCAGGCTCCTTTTTTTTCTGAGAGACTGATAGTAGTCTTTTCTGGTTGCTAACCTAATTCCTAGTCTAGTGCCATAAATCAACAGAACTGTGCAATCAAATAAAGATAGTAAAATGCTGCCTTCTGGGATAAAAGGAAGACTTGGTTCAAGTGATATATCTTTTTCTAAGTGTGTTTCTATAGCTTTTCAAATAAGACAAATTCTGCATTTGGATTTCCATTCTGCGTTTCCTTAGATTTCAGTAATGATTGCACATAATCCAAAGCCAAATGTTGTCTGTATACAATATATTTGGTAGAGTTTGTTAAAAAGTCAACAGATACATTCTGATTTAGAAAAAAAAATAACCACAAGTTTGTAAAGGAAACATAACATTTTATGAAGTTATCAAGCAAACTTTTAATTTCCTGTTTTGAATTAAAAATTTTAGACTAAAATTGGAGTAATTTTTATGGAGCAACTCTTCAAAGTGCTGAATGACCTCAAATCCCATAGATCTCAGCAGCTGGTGAGGGGGTTAATCAGCTAGAGAAATCACAGCTCTAAAAAATGGAATGTTACCAGAAAGTTTATGTGTGAACAACTAAATTCTTCTGTCTAGTATACTACATGACTGAGTCATAACCTGCAAAATCAGAGCAAAATTTAGTCTCAATCTTGTTAATTTTTCATGGCTATAAGTGATATAAGCATAAAATTAGGAAATTATATAGAAAACATTTTTTAATTATCTCATGTCATTCATGTCATTCATGTCATTCATGCTCTCGTTTTTTAAATGAGAACTGAGCAGGAACCAGTATAATATGTTTGGGACTTACTGGAATTTAAACTCATATGCAGAAAACTTGAGTCTCTTTGAGCAAGCCATAATGAAAATAACCCCCCAACCTATTTTTATATCAATATAACTATTAGAAAGAACCCCACCAGGGGGACAGGCAGATTTTGGCAGTATAATAGTACTTTTATTCTCTGTATTTTCTTTACATAGTTGATCTTTGGCCTGATTCATCAAATTTGAGGTTTTGTTTTCTGGCTGCTTCAGTATTGATCCTCATATCAGATTTATCTGCATTACTGCTACTTGTCATTGTGGATTCCACCTCTGTGCCTTCAGCAGTCCCTCCAATGGGCCGCAGGACTTTAGTGCTCTCTTCTAGGGGGCGCTTCCAATGGGGCCTGCTTGCCATCCACAAAATAAGTAAACCAAATATGACAAGCAAAAGACCAAGACAGTTGACAAAAGTTGCTTCTGGTGGGGATGAACTGTATGCAGGATCTCTCCTTTGAAAGAGGAAAGAGAAAGGAAAAGTCAGAACAGATTGTTTTAAAGACAATCCCGGTCTAAAACCAGTAGTCTCCTGCTGGGTAGTCTTTTTAAAACAAAACAATGTCCCAATACTAGATGCTTATTATTCTGCACAAACAGAAGTATAGTTTCCAATTAATAACTTCAAAAACAAGTGGAAAAATACTTACAATGAAAATAAAAGCTTTTCTGTGATTCCCATGAGAGCGGTTGCAATCACTGTTGCAAAGATGGTAAGACCCGAATAAACGTGTATTGGCATGAGAAGTGCTCGGAGATAAACTGGAGCAAAAGGGAGCAGAAAGACAGCAAAACCGAAGAAGAGCTAAACACAAAACAGATTTATAGTTAAAGTTATATAGAAAACAAGCTGCACTTCTCAAGCAGAATAAAAATAATCGTAAAAATTCCATTCTCAGATGTCTTCAGGTAAAAATTTGAAAATAATCGGCATTTCTATTTTTGAATGTGTTTCCCTTCAAAACCAAAGAAAATTCTGGATTAGCACTTAGGAAGCAGACATCAAATATTTTAAAAATAATCCTGCTTAATACCAGTGTCCAAACTTATAGGTAATGCTAAAACTGCAACCTAACTAAGTACTGAAAACACAAGTTTTCAGTGTCACTAATACAGTAATATATTAAAGGTGTGAGTAGCTACTTTTTTACAGTCTCTTCAAGTCCTGTTCTCTGCTCCTGTTACAGATTTACACATAAATGAAGTTCAGAAGGCAGTCTAACCTTCTGATTTGAGTGGATTAAATAATTTTACTTTTTTAGAGTTTTAGTTAAATTAAAGTACATATCTTCAGAAGGGGAATGGTCTCTCAATGTATCAATCAGATGGCATTTACAGAGAAGATATGTATGGGTGGTGTCAAGTTATTGAGAGGAGATTAGTTCTCCCATTAGCACTATTTTCATGATGGAAAATAATCCATCGTGTCACATGGTTGCAGTCACAGGCTTGCCCAGACATACTAAAGTTGCATCCCTTCTTTAGTTTGTTCTACCATTACTCAGCCCTGCTACTAAATTAGAAATAGTGCATGAATTTGTATTTCATCTTGCTTTAACTTCCTGTCTTAGTCCTTGTTTTGTCTTTCCATGACAGATTAAGGAGCCCGATACTTTCTCCCTGGGAAGCTTTTTAATACACTGTAATCAAGTCATCTCTTAATCTTCCTTAGATTTGCTAAACAGTTAGAGCTTTTTAAATCTTGCACCGGAAGATAAGTTTTTCCAACTCTCAAATTACTTTTTTTTCCTGGTCATTCTTTTTATATTTAAAAAAAATTATTCCATAGTATTTCATATCAGTTTTGCTAATGCCATATTTTTCTTATTGTCACAGCTTGGTGAGAAGTCATTTTGAGATTCATGTAATTTTTGAGTACTTCGTTCCAAAGACATTGCTTTCCAAGATACAGTCTACATTTTAAATTTCTGCCCTATTCTTAAATTTATGTCTGTGTGCTATACTGCATTAACATACATTTGACATAAATACATTTACACTATTGTTCCTGGAGGCAGAGTATGTGAGCATAAGACTGACATGCCATTTCCCTGAAACAGCTGCATTATTAGGACAAAGATTTTTATAACATTGTTCCTTCTTATTTATACTCATTCCATTAACTTTTTCACCTATAGAGAATATACTCAACAATGCTGCAATATGCTTTCTATTTTTCTAAGTGTTAAAAACACTATTTCAACACTATTTCCTGTAGCTCCTAGCCTGAGCAGTGAAGGATAAAAGTCCAGAACCCAAACCTCTCAGCTGAGGATTTTCTGTCCTTGATCACAGATAATGAAGTCTTTTTTCTTTTTAGTGTTTTGGCAAAAAAAAAAAAATTGAAAGAACAAAATAAATTTCCATAGTGTAATAACACAATATAGGGAGTTCAGAATGTATATGCAGAAACATCACATCTGTATGTGTACTGTAAATGTCAGGGCATGCCTGGTCCTCTTCTATGCCAAATGCAAAACATGTTAAGTTAGCTCATTTTACATTATGATAACAGTAATTCTCTGCCAATGGGAGCAGTTAAAAGCGTGCCCACAAACATCTGTCAAAGTTTTGCTGATTCAGGAAAACTGCTTAGCCAGTAGTAGCTCATTCAGATGTCAGATCCTTAGATCTCTACTGCTTCCTGCAGCACTTGTTCTGCTGATAAACAGAACAAGGCCAGAAAGTGACTACTTAAAATTATGACAGCTGAAAAAAAAAGAAAAGCAGTTACTTCATTTGAGACATCCTTAATAAAAGCTCTCACTGTATTTAAATGTGCTTCCCACAAACCAAATAACTTTAACTTCAGGAGTTAACAGAGCTTAGAAACACACTACTGTGTAACTGTACAGTAAATAAATGGTCACTATCCCAGCAAATAAACAAAATATGCTTTAAGATGCATTTTTCTTCAAACTCAAGGATCCAGTATTTGCACATTTCCATGCTAATTTGCCAAATCACAGTGTAAAATGGCTATCCCAGTAGTTACAGTGTGCTAGTGAGACCCTATTGTGCCTAAATTACTCGAAACATTCCTCAAAGTTACAACCCATTGATAAATACAGTTAGATTCTGACCTGGAGAGAATAACATATAAGAGCAGTCAGCCCGATCCAGCTGTGCAGACTGTACATGTTAGGAATGTTCTGGGCATTGTGGTATTCGAACGCGGCGACCATAGCAACGATGGCAAGAATCATAGCTATGGTATTTAATCCAGCGTGGATGAACTTCATTAGGAGTTTGCTGCACTTCCAGGTCCAGGGCAATCTGTACACAATAATAGCTGAAGAAAGAACAGAAACAAGATTTTATGCCTTATAACTTCTCTCAGATGTTAAAAATTATGCATAATTCACATAGTTCCACTGTTAATTACAGAAAAATCCAACCTTTAGTCCTCTATAAAAGTCTATTAAAAGGCTTTTTCTCATACACATAGCATAGCATATTCCGAATATACAACTGAGGCTTAAATATAGCTTTTAGGGAGACTTTTTCCTAATTAAAAAAACCCAAATGTAAGCATGTTTCAAAAACAAAACAAAACAAAAACCAAACCAGTAAACAACTTGGTGTCATCGTTTCCTTAGTCATTAAATTGATTTAACAGGGATTCTGCATAGGATTTGGACTGTTCTCCTACTAGTCAGATTGGAGGAATAGAGCCTGATTCTTCTATTTAGAATATCTCACTTGTTGAGAATGTGTGTCAGATTATTTTCTAATATTTATTCTCTTTGCCAACTTTGGATAATGCTATTTTCTAATTATGGAAATATTTATTACAATATTTATTACAAACTAGGTAGTAATTCTGGATGTGTGACAGCACATAAGTATATTTAGATAAGAGGGGTCAAATATGTATGAGACAAGTGATAACTTGACCAATAAAAGCTAATGTCCACATCCATAATGTCTTGGCTGAGCAAAAAGCCCCATTCAGTGATTCATCACATCCTCATTTAAGGTTTCTGCTTGTGGAATTACACAGAAATCTGTACATATAATTAGATATACTAAAACAAAAGAATAATAATGTATTCAGGTTTTTAAAAACTTCCTGTTCCAAACATAGAAATAGAAAAGTATTACCTTATAAATGCAAAAATTAGGAGTTTTCTTAAGTGATTCTCATGTGCCTTACTGATTACTCATGACTTCTCCATAACCCTAGCTTTTTAGGCAAAAAGCATAGATTATAAACAGAATATTCCTTCTGTATGTAGTGAATAATAATAATAATAAATGATTAATTCATTTCAAAGTTCTGTTTACACTTTTTTTTTACTTGGATGCATGCCAGTAAATACAGTACTGCACTAAATAATTCTCAAAGAAAACACTATTCATGAGTCAAATTTCCAGACTATGATCAGATTTTAAATCAATGTATGCTTTTACATACTGTGTGAAAACATAATAGTGGAATGAAAGTGTCCCTTAAAATATTTAAATATATTCAGCACTTAGGCAGTTCTCAGCTTTCTACTTTAAAAAGCAACAGTAGTAATTCCTACAAAATCAGGAAGAGAGAGATCTTGTTTTTAGGAAGGTTTTACTGTCTTATGTAAGTATGACTCAGCACACCAAGCTTACAATCACATCCAACAGTTTCCCAAAAGTTAAATGGTAATGTTAGAATCATAGAATCATTAAGGTTGGAAAAGACCTCTCAGACCATTGAGTTCAACCACTAACCTATCACTGCCATGTTCACACTAAACCATATCCCTGAGCACCACATGTAGACGTTTTTTGAACACTTCCAGGGACAGTGATTCCACCACTTTGCTGGGCACTCTGTTCAATACCTGACCACCCGCCAGTGAAGAAATTCTTCCAAGTGAATGGCACTGGTGCAACTGGCCATTTTCTCTTGTTACTTGGGAGATAAGATCAATCCCCACTAGCTACTATCTCCTTTCAAGTAGTTGTAGAGAATAATAATGTCCTCCCTGAGCCTCCTTTTCTCCAGGCTAAATGACCCCAGCTCCCTCAGCTGCTCATCAGACTTGTGCTCCAGACCCTTTACCAAGCTCTGCTGCCCATCTCTGGACTAGTTCCAGCACCTCAATGTCTGTCTTGAATTGAGGGGCCCAGAACTGAACACAGCACTCAAGGTGCAGCCTCACCAGTGCCCAGCACAGGGAGAAAATCACTGCCCTGGTCCTGCTGGTCGCAGTATTTCTGATATGGGCCAGGATTCTGTTGGCTGCCTCGGCCACCTGGGCACACTGCTGGCTCAGTTCAGCCAGCTGCCAATAATATCCTGCATTAGACTATTATTAAATCAACTTAGTGCTGATGATAATGATTTCTAATTTTGTAAAGCAGGTATGTCAAAGGGCCCCAAACAAGCCTCAACATCCCATGAGGATATTCCTGGTAAATCCTCCTTACCATATGGCCCACAGTATTGTCAATCATTTATTCAAAGTGCAGCAGAGTAATGGACTCTGTATGTCTTAAAGAAAACTTCATGAGCATAGGTTTTCAGTCTTTGATCTCAGACAGTCAAGTCCAGGCTAAAATGTTTCTATAATATTTTTCTGGTTTCATCTAGTTGATTTAACTTCAAAAATCACTATCAAATTCACCAGTCCCTTGTCCACATAGTCTCAGATCTCCATCCGAGCCTTGAATTTTCTGGGCTGTTTCCCATAAACGATATGACAGAAAACCATGGAATACAGACTAATGGTCTGGACACTTGTTAACAATACCATGCATTAGTATGTTACATGCCACAGCCCAGGACATATGCAAAGTAGTACAATTTGTTTTAATCCTCTTTCTGTGAGGGCTATGTATGAAGCTACACATTGCAACTTCAGCAGATCTGACTGTTTATCAGTGTGAAAAGACACAGTCTATTTCCCCATCACCTCTTCTGTGTGCTTTTCCCTGCCTTTCTCATAACTAGTGCTTTTTTGACCTGCCAGAGGAAACAAGACAATCTGGGGAACAGAGGGGAGAAAAGGAAGATTTGTCTTTCAATAGTACAAGCTCTTAAAACTTACTCAGACGTGATGTATAAATTCATCTCAAAATTAAAGCCTTGGTTAAAAGCACATACACAGTTACAGAATTTTTAGTGGGTACATAGTAAAGCAGCCCTGTGAATAACTTTCTCTAGGTACAGCATCTCTAGTACTGTTAAGTCATTTGATAGTCTAGGCATCCTAAACTGAACTTTTTCACTCAGATCTCACTCCTGTTTTGAGCTATGATTTTACAACACATCACACAGGCCAGAGTGATCTTGCAACATCTTTATGTGGCGTGGGACACCTTTCTTTGACAAACATACACAGCAGAATTCTAGAGTTGGCTTTCTAGTTATTTCTGGCATGTGCTTCACGTGCTGTAGGAAGTGTCACAGATTACTCATGAGATGCCTTCCACCTTAGCAGGCACACAGAATGGCTCTGTGAGTGCACTGGGGCTGCATTGCACAGCACCTCAAAGCTGTCAGAAAGGAATGGTCCTCTTCACTCTGCCTGTTTCCTCTTCTGCCTTCTTGGCTGATCCTGTTGCTTACCTTTGGAAAGTTCTGAATGCCCAATAGATTCTTTGGAAACCACTTTAATGCCAGAACCAAGAAGTGCTCATTTATGATTTCAAAGGGACTTAAACTAAGCTCATCAAGAGAGCGGCCTCTTCACAAGTTGCCTCTGATGAGACCCTCACAGGTCACCAGTCATTTGCCCTTCCAGTTCTTGAGAGTTCTGCGGCCTATTGGATGTTAGGAGCTCCAGCATTTAACTGTCTTTCCTTTGAACAAATGTTTTGTTATGTTTGAAACAAAAGTAATCATGTGTGTCAGATAGCTCAGAGCAAGCATTATCCTTAGCTGTGATTTCAAGATGAAAGACTATGCTTGCTTTAAAATAGATTTACACTCCTTCTCCTTGCTCTTGCACATTGTCCACCATCTCCCTTCTCCCATCTGCAGCAGTTCAGAGACCCTTCATGCAGGCAATTCAGCTTTTTATTTGAGCAAAAAATGTACTTGAGGGGTGTGTGTGTGTGTGTGTGTGTGTGTGTGTGTGTGTGTGTTAATTTTCTGGTAATTGAGTTAATTCAGTTTATGCGTCTGGCAAGGGCCAGCTGTCTGACAGTGGCCAGAGCTGGCACAAACAAATGTGTATGAAGATGAAGTCTTAGTCAAGGAGAAAGTTGAAAGGGAGAAGTAGAGGAAAAAAGTAGAAATATTTCAGCCATAGTGAGCTGTTGGACTGTCTCACCCACGTAGGTAATTTCATCCACACAGATGAAGTTTGACTCTATAAAACCACATGGTGATGTGGTAGACTTGGATTTTTCCTTCTCTTTTCTGTGTAAGCACTCTTAAGTAACATTCTTGTTGTATTCCTTTATTAATATACTGCTGATGTTAAGCTACTGATGATGTTAAGCTACACCCTCATGTATTAAGACCATTTAAAATACAAGTTATACGATATTTATAAATCATATATGATGAGGAATATTAATCCAAGCACCTTCCAAGATTTAGTGTCAACCTACAACTTTATTGTATAGAGCATACATGTGACTCATAAGCGGTAGAAGACTGATCTGAGGATGGGAGACAGACTCCCCCACCTTTCTGGTTCTGACTCACTCTTTATTCAATCTTCCACACCCCAAAAGCCACCACGCTGCTCCTCAGTCTGCAACAGAGATTGTCACCTCTTTGTAGAAAAAAAAGATATTCTTTTATAAGGTGTGTAATGGGAAATTCTCAAAAACCATTTACACCACATTATATCTTGATGGGTTTCCTAATTATTCTTATGAGAGGACTAATCATTCGCAGGCCAAACATGAACTATCATGCAAATATTCCTTTGGATCATGTCCTGAGTCTGCAGTCACTGTTCAACAACTGCACATATAAATTTATTTACTTATTTAACCCGTTCTATCACACTACTATTCTTCAAGCTCTTCTTAAAACTCATCTTTTCATCATGTTTTTTTCTTATTTTCAAAAATGCTGCTGTACTAATATGCACACAGTTTTATTGCCTGCGTTTTTCTCACTTTAAGTCTATGAAATCTTGTGGACAATTACTGTGCACTGACAGTGTTTTGTCAGGTATCATTTACCCATAGGTGCTGATCCACAAATACTAAATCTTAATATTACCATGCCTACAGCTTTTCCACTTGATTGACAAGATATATACAACACTTTTATTAGGGCACATCTACTTCCCAGTGTGCACATTATATTATAGTCATCTCTTCTACCTCCTACAGACAATACAATATTTCTATCCTTTGTATAGACTAATAAACTCAAGAAACAATTGGTTTTGTTATTATTTAAAATCCTCCACAAAAATTTAAGCAAGATTTTTTTAGATACTCCTACTTTTAACTACTTAAAGACTTGTGTTTCTTGTGTGTTTTGAAAGAGGTATCTGATTTCCCAGTCTCATCCAAATTACTTTGAATTCAGTGGCAGACTTTTGTCAATCAAATTTGAATCAGAATCACAGTGGTATCTTATCTGTTGATATTTTATCTGATTTATTACAATACTCCTTCAGTCTCTAACTTGCTTTTCATGTTATATAACAGGTTTTCCTCAGCAAATAATGATCTAAGTGAATTCCTTCTATAGGTGGGGAGTTTTAACTATTGTAAACCTCTATTTACTTTACATTTATCCTTACCTACAGAAGGTTTGAGACAACACCCTTTCTCTGTGACACAGGGAAAAAACTGAGTTTCAGAGGAAAAAAAAATAGAAAATACATAGGAGAAAGCTGCAGAAAATCTCTCCCTATTTTCTTAAAAAATGCTATGCTTATATAAAAAAACCAGTAGCTTAAGCACAGTAAGTAGTATAGATCTTAGTGAAGTCAACAGGTGAATTTCATTGCTTATTTATAGCCTGAAATTACACTTCCTATTGAGCAATATTATGTAGAACAAGCTCGAAGTACTGTTTATTGCTCAATAGTACTTTGTAACTTGAAGCCACAAAACTGAGAATACCACCACTCCCAGTGAAAAAAAAATAATTTACAGTGTACGTTCAAATTACAACATTCCCTTCATCTCCGGAACTAGACAGCCTTCGGCACCTTCCAACCTCTTGACTGGCTGGGCTCCTGCTGGAGAGCAAGCAAGCACACGTGATGCACACAACATGTTCCACTGAAATGAATGCTGGACAACTCTTCTGGCTGGATGAATGCAATATATCATTCAGTAATGAAGCAAATGTAAATAAGGTTATTAAAAATTAAATTCCAAGTTTGTCTAGATAAAATTTGAGTTTATATTCTATTACAAAGAAGAAATACTCCTGCTTACAATTATACTGTAAGTCGCCAGAGGTTCTTCCTTCCTTAAAAACAGTGAAATCTTCCCTATCCTCTCCCCCCAAAACTCAGTGGTAATATTGTGGGAGCATTTCCACTGTTCTATACAGTATTTATTTGCCCTTCGTGGGGCGGTTACTAATGTTTCACTTAGTTCTCCACATACTGAAACTAGCAAGATTTGTGTCACTGAGTTTATAAAAACATTACTGTTGGATGCTGTTCTCTCTGTCAGATTTTCCCATTACTTTTTAATGCCATTAGCATAAATTTACACTCCCAAATTTCAGGATTTTAAAGGTACAGTGTAGTGATGTTATTTTTTGCAATATTTAGCTCTGGTTAGAATATATTCACAGGGTAGATAAGCACTTCTGTGGCGCTCTCTCATTATCTGCATTTCAAACTTTACAGAAAGCACTGTATATTTCTTTCCTAAATTGACAGTTTAACAACTACAGTGGGTCTAATTTAGTTGATTTATTGGAATTACCCAACTATGCCAACAGCAAAACACAGTTCCAACTCCTCTATTCCTGCTGGCCTCAAGGAACAACCCTTGCACAGAAGACCCAACACACTAATTGTGTGGGATGGAAAAAATGATACTGTTCATTTTCTAAGTGTAATGGGAAACAGTTAAATGTCAGTACAAGGCTGAACTCTATGAAGTCAAATGTTCATATACCTATAAACAACAAAACAAAACAAAAAAGCAACACTGCATCATAATAATTGCATGTTATTTAGGCAACAAAATTAAGAATTAATTTAAAAAATATATTTTACAGAATAACTTATGCTAAGTCTGGGCTGAAGAACTGCATTTTAATGGTGCTAATGGTGCTACATTTTCTCTGGCACAAACCCCATTCCTGGATCAAGCTTCTGTGGTATTGAACTTTCCTTTCTCCTCTCGGGACATGGGAGAGAGCCAAAAGAGAAACTTTCCTAGGGCAGCATTTCTGGCATTTAGATTCTCAACCTGCATAAATCCAGGCTGCCTATGAAAACACACCTCTCAAATATTACTCAAAGTACACAGCAATCCTACGCCAGGGTAAACAAGGTCCTACAGGAAAAAGAAAGCCCAAACCGATACGTAGCAGTTTTGGCTTATTACAAGGGACTCTTTGTCCCTTCCCGGGGAGTGCCGCTTCCCTGAACCGCTCCGTCCTACACCAAGGACCAGCCGCAGCGCTCCCGGCTGTCACCGCTGTCCCGCTATCGCCCGCGGGCCGCCCGGGGCTCGCCGCCGCCCCCCCCGTCCCGGGCAGCGCCGGCTCCTCCGCAGCCCCGCGCCCGCCGCCCCGGCCCTCTCCGCTCAGCCCGACCCGGGCCCGACGCACCAATGCCCTGGATGAAGACGAAGCCCGTGACGACGAGGACGGGGTGCCAGTTGAACTCTCCCGCGCCGCCGTCCCAGCTCAGCCCCTCGCGGTAGTGGAAGACCCAGACGAAGGAGAGGATGACGGACACGAAGCCGACCAGCAGCGCGGAGGCCAGCAGCGCCAAGAATCGCCCGTAGTCCTCCATCTTCCGCGCCTCGAGTGCGGCAGCGAGGCGCGGCGAAGTAGGGCGGGCCGGCGCCGGGCGGGGTCGGGTCGGGCGGCGGATGGGACGGGACGGACGGACGCGGAGCCGCGGGGTCGGGAGCAGGGGAGCAGGGTGGCACGCGGCCTTCCGCGCCCTCCGCCCTGCGCGCCGGCCGCCCGGCGTCCCGCGGCCGTCTCAGCGCTGCTTTTTACGAGGAACGTATTGCCATTTTTTTTTTTAAGTTTTCACAAGCTGTGAGTGTGCTCTCGGATTCAGAACCGCGCCTTAGAAAAGAATTTTCTGTGTCAGCCTGTCCCTTTCCAGGGTGGCGGCCCCACTGCGCTCCCACCAGCAGCGGAGTAAAGGAGCTGATAGTCGGGGGTTTTGTGGGGGAGCCTGTAGTGGACGTTGGGGAATTTAGAGACCTGCCATAAAGATAAGCCACTACAGCCATAAGGACTTACAGATAAAGCAGGAGCGCTGCTGTGACGAAGAGGCAGACAGAGCATACAGAAAATATAGAGTTGGAGGAGCGCACTTAAAGATACTGATGGATTTGGCTGTACTTGGAGCACGGCTTGCCATCATGATCGTCCCCTTCCAACTGGATTCGAGTGCTGCAAATGTAGAACAGATACTAACCGGTTTCATATATGGAATCTGGCCTAAGTATGCAGGAGGATGTGGACATTGTTCTGTTGAATAGCGTAAATATATCAAATGTCCACTAGCTAAGAAGGGGAGTGCGTGAAACTTAAGACAATTCCAACAGGTATGGAAGGACCCATTGCAGGGAAGTTAGAGAGTAAAAGAGAAGGAAATAAAACAGAATTGCATTGTGTTTCACCACCAAAAACTGTAACGTTTGTTCTTTATCTTATTTGAGTATGCAGAGCTTAGTTTACATCCTATTTGTTTGAGTACATCCCTCATCTAATTCTCTAGGATTTCTCTAGGATTATATTGTTCCTTATTTGGGCATTCTAGAGTGCTGTGAACAATGTTTCTGTTTCTCCTATCAGTAGGAGGCTATGCCCAAACATATATTCAGCACTACTTTCTGGTATTTGATTAGCTTACTTTTAAAATATACATATAGTATCAAAATACTGATTGAGAGAAAAGAATATTTTTTTTTTTACTCTGACTAGTCTTTGAGCTGTCTGGTATCTCACACTCAAATTGAGGCCTAAAAAAATGAAAGGAAACAGTTTTATGGAACTTAAAATAGTTTCAGTAGAATACTGCCAATTCAAACACCATACTTATGAAAGTGCTGGAAACATCTACATAGAGACATGAAGACCAGGCCAGATTGGAAGAGGATGCAAATGTATTTCTTCATTATTCTCTCTAACCTCTTAAAAATAGATGCTGGGCTCTGACATTTTAAAGAAAAGCTTCACTTGGGCATCAGTTGTTTACAGATGTTTAGCTTTAATTTGCATGGATTAGGTGTGACCTGCCCTCAGGATTTAAGTGGTTGCTCATTCTAGTCGCAGTGGGAACTAGAACTGATAACACCGATACCATTAAGTTTCACAAATTACAACATCTCTGAGAAGCAAAGATCTAAGCCCTGAATCTCCTGATGAATGCACTTCCAAGGACACCTGATTGTGATTGAGGCACAAAGTTCGTCTCAATATTATGGTCATAAAAATTTTACTAAGTTTTTTATGGATTGTTAAATGAAGTGAATCTTTTATTCTTTATGTGCAAACCAGCATATAGTAAAACCATAGCTCTGCCTACTTGTACACAAAAAATATCATGTGGGTTAAACAAAATGGTACTTATATGCTATCAGTTTTGGGGTATTTTTCTATAATTATTTGGAATTCTTTACTCACCATCTTTTGAACAATCAATCTTTGTTATATTTTTTTTTAAATAGCATTTACTTAAAGAATATTGTAAAACCTTCAGATTGGTGTTGAAATTTTACAGATAGCAAAGCATTATTTTTATGGTGCTTGTCAGTTCCATGGAAGGAATTGCAAAAATATTACATAAAATTCAAAAATAAGGATTCACAGGCTCCAAAATGTGTCCATTCTTTTCCAGTTATATGGGGTGGTCTAATAAAATTACTCTTGTCTCTGTAAAGCCTAAAAAATGATGCAAATATTTATTTTGATTTACCTTCTATGAACCTAAATCTCCCAGCTGCAAAATACTTCAAGTTCCCACTGATTTCAACAAGCTTTCATTACATCCAGTACCCCAACAGTCCCATATAGAAACCTTCTACCCAAGTGGATTTTACTTATGCCTAAAACTATATTTCTCAGAACACTTTCATGAATTCCTATAGCTCAAACCAGTTTACCCCGTTAAGCAGCAAATAACAAGAGCAAATGCAAAATTTTATTGAACTGAAAAATGAGGCCCAGTTTTGCCAACTAACCATGGATGAATTTTTTTAAAAACAGAATTGAAGAAATGTGAAAGCTTACAGATTGCTACGTAAACCAAATCAGAACAAAGTGCAAAATAAATTCTTAGACAAAGTCAAATGTTCTTTATGGAACATCTGTAATGCAAAGAGGATTAGTAATTTCTGCCTGTATTTTTCCTTGTATTCTGTTCTTCTACCTCTTCTTGCCCACCTGATGCAAATGTCAGATTGGTCTTGAATCAGAAGCAATCCTTAGCACAGCTACAATGTCCAAGTGGATTGCATGTTTACATGGGAGTGGGAACTCAACATGATACAGCTGACTGCTGAGGGCTGAATGATAATCTCTTTGGAGAGAAGGGCAGGATGGGCACTCTTTTAATACTCAAAGTAGATCTTATCAAGAAAAGTCAATCCTTCCTTATCTTTTCATTTCCTAGGCACTGACTGGAAAATTCCACCTTGGCGTCTGCACACCTGTGCTTATCAAATACAAATAGAATCATAGAATCAGCTAGGTTGGATGGGACGTCTGAGATCATCAAGTCCAACTCTTGATCCACTACCGCTGTGGTTGCTAGACCATGCCACTAAGTGCCACATCCAGCCTCATCTGAAAAACCTCCAGGGACAGAGAATCCACCACTTCCCTGGGCAGCCCATTCCAATGCATGATTACCCTCTCTGTAAAGAATTTCTTTCTAATATCTAACCTAAACCTCCCCTGGCACAGCTGAAGACCTCTTGTCTTGCTGGTAATTACCTGGGAAAAGAGACCAACGCCCACCCGGCTACAACCTTCTTTCAGGTAGTTGTAGAGAGTGATGAGGTCTCCCCTGAGCCTCCTCCAGGCTGAACAACCCCAGCTCCCTCAGCCTCTCCTCATAGGACTTGTGCTCAAGTCCCTTCACCAGCCTCGTTGCTCTTGTCTGGACTTGCTCCAGCACCTCAATGTCCTTCCTGAACTGAGGGGCCCAGAACTGGACACAGCACTCCAGGTGTGGCCTCACCAGCACTGAGTACAGGGGAAGAATCACTTCCCTGGTCCTGTTGGCCACACTGTTCCTGATCCAGGCCAGGATGCCATTGGCCTTCTTGGCCACCTGGGCACACTGCTGGCTCATGTTCAGCTTCCTGTCAATCCAAACTCCCAGGTCCCTTTCTGCCTGGCTGCTCTCCAGCCACTCTGTCCCCAGTCTGTAGCGCTGCAGGGGGTTGTAGCGCTGCAGGGGGTTGTTGTGGCCAAGGTGGAGGACCCAGCACTTGGCCTTGTTGAACCTCATCCTGTTGGAATCAGCCCAACTCTCCAGCCTGTCCAGGTCCTTCTGAAGAGCCCTCCTGCCTTCCAGCTGGTCGACACTCCCCCCCAACTTAGTGTCATGTGCAAATTTGCTAATGGTGGACTCAATCCCCTCATCTAAATGATCTATAAAGATATTAAACAGAACTGGGCCCAACACTGATCCATGAGGGACACCACTAGGGACCTGCCACCAATTGGATGCAGCACCATTTACCACCACTCTCTGGGCCCGGCCCTCCAGCCAGTTCCTAACCCAGCACAGAGTGCCCCTGTCCAAGCCATGGGCTGCCAGCTTTTCAGGAGTATTCCATGGGAGATGCTGTGAAAGGCTTTGCTGAAGTCCAGGTAGACACATCCACAGCCTTCCCCTCATCCACCAGGTGGGTCACCTGATCATAAAAGGAGATCAGGTTGGTCAGACAGGACCTGCCCTTCCTAAACCCGTGCTGACTGGGTCTGATCCCTTGTCCATCCTGTAGGTGCTGTGTGATTGCACTTAGGATGATCTGCTCCATAACCTTGCCAGGCACTGAGGTCAGGCTGACAGGCCTGTAGTTTCCCGAGTCCTCCCTCCACCCCTTTTTGTGGATTGGCATGACATTTGACAGCTTTCAATCATCAGGGACCTCCCCAGTGAGCCAAGACTGCTGGTAAATGATGGAGAGCGGCTTGGCGAGCTCTTCCGCCAGCTCCCTCATCACCCTAGGATGGATCCCATCTGGTCCCGTAGACTTGTGGGGATCCAAGTGGCTCAGAAGTCGCTGACTGTTTCCTCCTGGATTACAGGGGGGCTATTCAGGTTCTTATCTCTTTCTACAAGCTCCAGAAGCCAGCTGTCCTCAGGACAACCTGTCTTACTGTTGAAAACTGAGGTAAACTGAGGTAAAGAAGGTGTTAAATACCTCAGCCTTTTCCTTATCTTTGATAACTATATTCCCACCTGTGTCCAATAAAGAATGGAGGTTTTCCTTGCCCCTCCTTTTGTTCTTGATGTATCTGTAGAAGGACTTTTTGTTATCCTTCGCAGAAGTGGTGAGATTAAGTTCAAGTCGTGCCTTTGTCTCTCTAATTTTCTTTCTACATGACCTAAATATATTCCTAAACTCTTCCTGAGTAGCCAGCTCTTTTTTTCCATAATCGGTAGGCTCTCTTCTTTACCCTAATTTCCTTCAAAATCTCCCTGTTCAGCCAGACCAGTTGTCTTCCCTGCTGGCTTGCCTTTCAGCACACTGGGACAGCCTGCTCCTGTCCTTTCAAGACTTCCTTCTTGAAGCATGTCCATCCCTCTTGGACCCCTTTGTTTTCAAGGGTTGTTTCCCAGGGTACCCTCTGAGCCAGTCTTCTCAAATAGGCCGAAATCTGCCCTGCGGAAGTCCAGCGTAGAGGTTTTATTGATGGCCCTCTTTGCATCCCTGAGTATTGAAAACTCTATTATTTCATGGTCACTGTGCCCCAGACGGCCTCCAACCACCACATCTCCCACCAGTCTCTCTCTATTTGAGAACAGAAGGTCTAGTGGGACCCCATCCCTGGTAGGCTCATTTACCAGCTAGAGCAGGAAATTATCTTCTGTATGCTTTAGGAATCTCCAAGATTGCCTCTTCTCCACTGCGTGGAGTTCCCAGCAGACATCCGGCAGGTTAAAGTCACCCAGGAGAATGAGGGTTGGCAATTTTGAGACATCTGCTAGCTGCTTGTAGAATAATTCATCACCCTCATCATCCTGGTTGGGTGGTCTGTAACAGACTCCCACCAGGATATCAGCCTTGTTGGCCTTCCCCCTGATTTTGATCCACAGGCACTCAAACTTATTGTTACTGACTTCAACTGATTTTGTTGAAGTAGAAATGCTGGAAGTAGGCTGCTTTAGTCCACAAAACAAAATGTTTCTAAGACAGTCATAAAATCAAGCCAGCTTCCAGGCAGCACAAAGAAGGGCAGTGGCATTATAAAGGGCTAAACTAGGAAGAGCGTGGTGTCAACATGCAGTTTACTAAATCTCCAATGCCCCAGAGCATGGAAATGTGCTGTGAGCATGCTGCAAGGTGCATGTTAGAGGCAGCCAACACACACATTACATACCCAAGGTTGAGACTAACTTCAGATATAATCAGGAAGACTGCTCGTGTATGAGTCTAAATGTGGAGCATCCAAGTAAACATGTTCACAGAATAATTTTCCTGTTTGTCTGCTGGCAAACAGCTCTCACTGGGGGCTGTCTGGAGAGCCTGCAGTCCTGTCATGTGGAATGCATTGCTTCTCCTGCAGCATCTCAAGTAAGCCAGAGCTCTTTAACCACTCAGTGGAGTAATACCAGTGAATTTTAGATTCGCATTCCATGCTTCCTTTTTCTCTTCCCGAGAAGAATGTGCACTTACTCTTCCTTAAAAATATATTCCCGAGAACTCAGTTTCCTTCTCCACACAGGCATTTGTACTCCCAGTTTACTAAACGAGTTATTAAGCTATACCAAGCAGTTCTTAACAATTGCATCATTGTAATTCTTCACTCAGCTAGGATACCTAGTTTTTTTTATTAAAAAAAAGAAACCCAGCCTATTTTTGCAGTTCATGTAATCTTTTGTTAGCCGAAGAAAACGCTTTAACTACTTTAAATTTGTTCAATCTATAAACATTAGAATGCATTGAAATAAAATTGTTTTGGAGCTCCTGAAGGTTATTTGGGCCATCAGTTTGTAACTTCAGTAAAGTAGAAATAAATACTAAAGTTATAATTGCATAAATGCCAAGTGTAGTAACCAGAGAACTTCAAGTGATCCTCTCTGAAAATCTAAGATTGTGAAATAGCTGCAAAAAAATATGTTCCCTTAAATATCTCTAACTGATTTAAATACTGGAATTCTTGTTTTCTTCTTTTAGTACTCATAACATATCAGTCTGTGTATCAGAGACACCTGAAATCATGTTGATTCACTGCAATTATTATTGGTGAGCCATTGCAACATACATATCAGATCAATTCACACATCTTCCAGAAAAAAAAAAGCTCTTTAAAAGTTTTGTACTGTGGCTGTAGCAATACTTGGCAGTCAGGAAAGAACTCAATTGCTGTTCCAGGTTCTTTTGTGGTTCAGACTTAGAAAACCACATTTTTACTACCTTTTCCCCTTTTTTGCTCTTATCATTTAGATTTTGTTCATTCTGGCAACAGCAAAAAGCTTGTATCATACAACACTACGTGAAATCCAATGTGAATTCACTAGTTCGTGATCTTTTTACTTCCTAGACCAACATTTTGCCATTTGCAGGCAGAGTGCCCAGAGATCTTGCTTTGAGCAGCTGACAGCAGTTCCTCCCAACTGTTCTTTCAGGAAACAGCCTACATGCAGCCCTATGCAGATGTCCTTTCTAGCAGGTATTCCTATTAACAATCTTTATCATAACTGGGAAGCAAATTCATTTATTAGTTGTTCCATCATGTGGGATAGCTGTTACAGTTCCATAAGGGAAACAAATCTCTTGCTGGTGAGTTTTTGGCAGTCTTCAGTTAACGTTAAGTAATATAAATGCTATTTTTCTCAATAACAAAAGGAAAATAAAATACAAAATGGGAATAAAATGAGCAAGAAACTGTGCTGCTAAAGTAACTGGACATATCCAGAAACAAACAAACAAAAGAATAAAGAAACATTTCTCCACACTGAAAATGCAGAAAGTTTGGGTGAAATCACCTAACTGGCAAAAGTGAGTAAGATCCCTTCAACTCTATGTTTGAAATACACATTTGAGTCTTTATTCACATTAACATTTCACATATATATTTACATCTCTCTATATACATATATATATAATCTTCTCCTTGCGCATCTAGTGCTAGTGAAAATAATAGAAGCATGAACTTTTCAGCTTTGATCTTCTATTAAATATACACTTGAGATTGCATTTGAAATAATTAATTGAGGCTTTGTCTGCAGACTCTGGAAGCCATGGCATGAGTGCTAAGCACCCTCTGAAATACACAGGAAGTAAGGGAACTCACAATTTCATGCCAATAGTTCCTTAGTCTGACTTTTGTAAAACAAAAAACTATCAGTAAATGGGTTTCTTAATCATTAAGCTACTGCCTATGAGAAGAAAATTTTACTCTCTAGTTTATTAATGTTAATTTCTGAATTTAGAAATGGGAAATAAAACTACATTTGAAAAAGTTACTTCTGTTTTTTCAAAGCTTTTTTTCCCCCCTCTTTTCTTATACTAATGTCACATTTTGGTGTTTGCAGATAATTATGCTGGGCATGTGCACAAGAATATTTTTTCCTCTGTAATGGAAACCACATGGGTTTCCTCAGAACTTTTCCACTTTACAAACACTGTTACTCTTTAGCACACTGAATTATTCAGATTGTGTAGGAGATTTCCAAGCATATAATTTACATTATGAAAAAGAGAAACCTAAATGCTCCAGAATCATCATAAATGGACATCAAAATATAGGTCTACAAGTCAGATCTAATGCATTAATTCAAATTATCAATTTGACACTGCACAATAGTACACCCCTGCCAGCAACAGTGACCAAAAATGCCTACATATGAAGTCTCCTGGCAAAGTAGGTTTTTTCTGGTGGATGAGTTTAAAAATGTAACTTCAAGTAAAAGGAGCTGATTCAAGTGAGCTGCTACCAAGCATGCAGGTATTTTTATTTGGTTTAGATACAGTTATTTTTTTAACTGTAAAAAACTACTGGGTTGTGGTCAGGATTTTCCTCCCATTTAAACAGAAGTTTATTTTTAGAATTTTCTGGGTCTCTGCATAGGTACAGAAGGCAACTCACAGCTTGATTCTGTTTCTTTGGTGTGTTCCAGCCCATTAGTAAGTAGGGTGTGAAGACAGAAGTGCTCAGGCCTAATTACTGGGGATTCTTTATTCTTAAATAGCTTTCAAGGTGTTTTAAAGCAAAATACTCCTGTTTCTGAATGAAAATGTCTATGTGTGATCTTCCAGGATGGAACATCTGCCATTATCTGCAGTGCAGCAACACGGCGAGTGTTTAGAGTGACAGAATTTCTTACCTGAGATCCCACAATCTTCATCCAAGTCTGGGCTGCCTTTTGGTCATTACAAATTGCTGCATTTTTGGATACTGATGTACATTTATAGATTTACCAGAATATCAATTCGGAAGTCTGTACTAATTTAAGAATAAGCCACTGGGATGTATAGCAAACCCTTGAAAGCTAGAGCTGATCTACATGAACAGCACTTGCAGTATTTAATAAACAATGAAGTTTAAATGTCTTTTTCTAGGAGGAACTGCTTCAATAACCCAAACAGAAATGAGCATAAAATGCATCTTAAGTAACTGCTTGAGATTTGGGTCTTCTGCCTTATAGACTCATTACCTTCATATATTAGTTATGTAGTTACTTATAAAATAGCAGGTAATGGACAGGTGTTCTTTCCTGGACACTAAGCAAAAATTTATGGAAGCCAGGGTGGAAATTAGGTGTTGCTGCTGCCCTTTATTACTACTGCTGTTTCATTATCTTCATAAATGTCCATTTTGTGTTGTTTTTTCTTTCCACAATTGTAGTTCACTTCTCTTGCATTACACTTTTTCTAAAAACTCAAAATAGAAAATTTTTATCATTCTTCTAGAGCTCTTCCCTATTGCATCTTCTAGAATGATCCATGCTTAATTAGTAAAGCTTGGAGTAAAAAGAATATTTCCATTTAGAATTACCACGGTCATGATGATGGTGGTGGTAGTGAGAAATCAGATGTTGGTCATACCCTCCAAGAGCTATTCTCCTGAGCCCATCTTTGGCTTGCATTTGGAAACACTCTTTATCACCATGAAGGCTACAGCCTGAGTTTTGCTGTGGGTGCTTTTTAATTTAACATGAAAGCCCACACTCTGCAGATTCTGAATATACCACATGGCACTCCCATGCATCAGGCAGGATGCACACAGTGATCAGGGTGAGCAGCTGGGAGCTTTGGCTCAGACTCCTGACAACTCCTGACCCTTGGCACAGGGAGAACCAGAGAACTGCTATATGTATCTGTAAAAATATATATTAAAAAGACAGTAAACCACATAATTAATATTTCTCTTTAAACCAACACATACACAACCAGAAAACCTGCGTGATTTTATTTCTCACACAAAAGCAAGAGAAGGTTTTTGTCTAAGTGGTTTAATGGTAACACTGCAATTTTCATGCTACATATAAAATTTATCCTAGACAGTTTTATATACTTTGTTTAATTGACAGTCTATATTAGAGTTGCATAGGTAAAACTATGTAAGACAGATCACGGCAGATGGCAGATAATCAGTAAGTCCACATCTTTTTCCTTGATGTCCAGTATTTCAATCCTATTGCTGAAGAGAAGCAATAAATGCTGCACCTAGCATTAATGAACTGGTGAATACATGAAGAGCCATTATGGACTACAGGCAAGTGTACAGTGTTACAAAGAAAAAAAAAAAACCCCAAACCTCTTGTAGCAGTACAAAATGTTACAATTAAATCCTGCCAGAAAACAGTAGCTGACTACTTTCTATGTATGGAGTCCTTAAATAACATCCAAACTGAAGTCTCTGTAGTTGTTATAGTTTAAATATATTCAAAAGTTCTCCCTCCTTTTTTACAAAACACTTTCTGTTTTTTCATGGCTTGAACATTAATCATCTTTTGCAGTATCACAGACCATTTGGTAAACGTAACAACTGAATCTCCTGTTAGGCTTCTGTTCTATATGTAATACAAGGTCTTTGTCGAAGTAAACTTCATGACTGTAAGTCTGAAATGAGAAAAAAAAATTTGGATTGTAGTCTCTCTTTCCACAACTTGTTAATATCCATACCATTTTCCATGAGGAACAAAAAATATTTAACACTGGTGACCTCCATGATCAGGCAGGATTTTTGTGGGGATACACAGAGATTGCCCTTCCAGATAAAGGACAGCATTTTAAAACTTTGAGAGGTTTCTCACATACCTATTTTAGGCATCTAACTGCAATTAGATGCATCTGATTTAAGATACCAAGTTGCCTATGCAGTCAATGATAAAAGAGGTGCAAAGGTGCTGAAAATTTCAGACCATCTAAGTTGGATGTCCACCTAAGCTTGGACTGTATGAACAGCCCATTCCATCTCTCCAAATACACACACAGGGAGGTCCATGCTTAATTCTACGCATGAGTAGTTCAAGCTAAGATAGTGAAATTATTTACAAGTTGTAAAGTTAATCTGATGAAACTAGCCATAGGGTGAGTATTTAATTAGATAAATACTTTAGAAATACATAAGGACAGCCCTTTCCCCAACTAAAAAACCCAAACAAATCAACAAACAAAAAGAATAATAATTTCAAATAATAAAGATTTTCAGATAAATGAGCTACTGTCTGATGGAATACTTACAATTTTAGAGTTTGTAATTATTTTAGAGTTTGTAATTTCGTAATTATTATTTTTAATAATGAGATTTTATACAAATCTCATCCCTTGGCAACACTATTTATATATTTGCTTCAAATCTGAACAAAAATGGCAGGTAAACGAGTATAGGGAAGAGACAGTGTGAACAAAAGACAGGAATTTTCCTCACCACATCCCAGGACTCCCGGAATGGAATACTCTTAAGGAGAATCCCATGTTCATTACAATGAAAATCAAGGTGAGCTCTTCCATCAGCTCCTATCTGAGTAACTGCCACAGTGGATAATAAATCCAGTTCATCTTCATAATCCACGATTTTGAATGTCTTAGGAAAAACAAAACCTCAAGTTTAGAAATCAAACGTAAATTCACATTCCCCTCCACCTAAATTGAATAGCTCTTTTTTCTTTCTGGTGAAAGCAGAATTGGAAAAATTCTAGTTCTTAAGTCTTCTGGTCTGACAGAGAAAACTTTGGGACACTGATACCCAACAGGCATCTTTCCCAACACAAGTTGTCCAGTGTATTTCAGTGAAATTCCTTAAGCAGGAGAAAATAAAGTGATATTCTGAAGAATCCTAATATGCAAGTAGATGTATTTTTATATATAACGTACAGGATATAGAAAAAAGGTACTTCTAAAGTGGCAGAAGAAATATATTTAAGCTCTTGATGCAGACATGGTAGAGACAGTGTAGCTTAAAACCTTTACTGGTTTTGAGAGGATGAGTATATTAGGGTAATTCCATTCACATGAATATTTCTATATTCTGTTCAGAGCTCTCTCTTGCTCCACACAGAGTGTGTCAGTGAAGAACTGAGACCAAAATGTAAAGACTGTGAACTAACTTAATTGCCTTTATTTCACTGTGACATACTCTTTAAATTCACGCCAGTCTTCTTCTTCCATAATGTAAAAACATCTACTGGAATCCCAAGTAAAGCGTAACAGCAGGGGAAAAAAAGAGTGTGTAGACTATTTTTATTATGGTTAAAAGAAAAAGTGGATAGAAATGAACTGCAGACCCTTAAGGGTTATATTGGACTGTGCTGTAGTTTTACCGTATTCTCTCAGAAAAAAAGAAGTGACTGCCAGAAACTGATGCATTTTAACTGTTGTGCTTATGACAATTACAGCTCCAGCTCTAGATAGAGAGCTAAAAAATATTTTTCATAACCTCTTGAAGACTCAACACCAAGGCATGTGGCGTTTTCATTCTCAAGAAGCAGTTACTTAAAGGAAAAGTGTTAAATACCTTTTCCTGCAATCTAATCAAAGTAACTGGGAAAGGAAAATGCAGTTTAGACATATTACATCAAAGAAAAGAGGAACCTAAAGCAGAGAAAAAAAAATTTCTTTCATTTCATAAAATGCTTTGTAAGAAACATTTAAAGGAGATATTTGAATGGAGAAAAGAGTAATGGTTTGTCACATTAATATCTCCTTTCTTTGCCACTGAAGTCACATGGAGTTATGATGGTATCTTGGGGCATAAGAGCAGTTCTTGCAAGAAAGAGAAAATCCATAGCTCAAATGTCTTAACCAAGAAGAAAAGATGACAGAGCATTTGAAGCAATTAGAAGTTGAGAAGACAGACACAGAAAAGGAATAAAGAACTCAAAGACATACTCAAAGAACTCAAAGAACTCAAAGAACTCAAAGACATAGCTAATGGTTATACCCACTGCACCTGAAACAAGAATGACTTCTGGATAGCTAAGCATCTAAAATAATCCATGAAGTGGTCTTACTCACTGCATCAGTTACCTCTTGTTCTGGGTCATCATCCAGCAAGTTAAAACGCTTTTTCACCACTCGACCAGAAGCTGTTACAGTAACAGTGTTGTTCACCTTTGGAGAAACATAGAGAAGTGTCTCTAGACTTCAGAGCACTTTAGTTTCCATCTTTTTGACAATTTCCTATATTTTGCTTTCTGAGCTTGTTTTAATCTCTCAGACTTTGTTTCACTTGTTAGCTGTGCATCACCCTTGTGCTGCTATGGCTTCTTTATGAGGCTTCATGAACTCAGTGACTTTAATTGAGGTATTATTGATATTTACTCATATTCAGAAGTTCTCAGGATGTCCTGTAGAGGTGGCAAAGGTTCTCAGCTACCATAATTTTTAGAACAGAAGTGTCTGAAACTAAGATGCTGTAATGAGAATTGACACAGCAAAGTCACCATCAGCTTGTTTCTTAAACTCTTAGTTGCAGAAGATGGGAAAAGTAGCATCTTAAACCACCACGGCTGCTTCCACTGGGCTTCTTTACCACAAGAAACATTCAAAACTGGGTTATCAATGTCACAATGGAAGTCAAAAGGAATAGGCACAGCACAAACAGGATTAAAACTCATATTTCTTTGTTCTTACTGTAACAGAAGTTACTCAAACAAACCCTAAAAAAACAGTATGGCAAGTCATTAGATGACCTAGCTTTCAGTTTCTGAATTCAATGGAAGATTTACTCCTGAGTTTGTGTAGATTTTTAATACAAAAACCTTTTTCTGCAAAAGCTTCAAAATTTTAGTATGACCGATTTCCAGGCATCTTACAGTACTCAAACTAAAAACCTGCTAGTAGGTAAGACATAACCTTGTCTGCTGAAGCAAAATGACAGTTCCAGCCATTATAAAAAAATTTTCTTCATGAGTGTGCTCTTTAACCTTTTTGATGTTAGATTGTCTTTGTGATTTTACATCACAAAAGACTTCACAAAACAACTGAGGTGATTTAAGAGCTCAGTCCTACCAGTAGGTTTAGATCATCTCCTCACCACTTGATTCTACCTTTCTGCACTCTTCTGATCCACTGATGATTCAGTTCTGTTCTGCTCCAGTTCAGCTCACCAAGCAAGCAGACAAGCACTCACCTTTTCTATTATTGTAGTGCACTGATTTGGCTCACCAAGAGTTAGCTGAATGCCAAATCTGTCACAAGAGAGTGACAGGTGTGCACGGCCAGGAAAAGAAACAGACTTTTGGAAGCAACGTATTGTCTTTGTTGTCTTATGAAAACCTACCCCTAAGTTATGAGGGACTTGAAACATTTCTAGCATTTGTATGATCAACTTACCTGAGCACCAGAGAGGCACACAATTATCACTTCGTGGCGCCTTCATTTGAAGGAAATCTGTTATCATCTATTAAGTATGTTTTATATCCATGATACATGTGATACTGCACACCATAAAGAATGCTGAAAACTAAAGAAAGGGCTGGAGGTTTCAGAAATCTATCCTGAAAATGTTACTGTTTTCAAAAATTTTTTTAAACTCTGATGATGACACAGAATGTCTTTTAATAAACCTTGAATTGAGCCCATAAAACACAGTGATTACTCATATATGCAAAACCCCCATGTATTGCTCAAAATCATACATTGTGATCTCAGACACTAAACTCACACAGTTTTCTCTGTTGGCTACAATCGTAAAATCTTCTGCAATCTCCATTTGATCTGTACGATTTTTAACTTCCTTAAGCTTCAAGACTCTACAAAAGAAACAGAAATTACAAAGTCAGTCACGTATTCTAATCTGCCTACTGCAACACTTCTATATAATCTTTTTAAATTGTGTACATAAAACCATCAGAAATAAGTGTAATGGAAATCAATTATTTTTGTAATTTATGTTTATCAATGACATTTTAACACAGTGGTCCTTGAACATTTTTCATATAAAAATCTAGACTCTGGCCTCCAGTGCCCACATTCATCACATAGAAATCTGCAGATGTTTCTACCAGAACTTCTGACAAATTTAAGACATTTTACAGTTTCTATAGTTTAAAGAGTGTTTGGGCCTGCAAAGTGTCAAACTACTGAATTTGTGCAGTTATGCAACCTCTGCTCTGATGAAAATAAGATTTGAAAAAAAAAAAAGAAGCTCATACTTTATCAAATTTGGTCCCACGTGGATTATTCTACCTGACATATCTGGATGGAAATATATCCAGTCAGGTTCAAGTGAACAGCATTTCATATCCTGTATGCCATTTTTTGCCTGAAGAAGAAAAGGAATATTAGTATTTTGAAAGTCTCACAGATCTAATTAAAGAGGAAATACTCAGCTCCTCACTACATACCTCTGAAGGTTTTTAAGTATTGCTCCTAATCATGACCAGAAAGGATGGCAGTGGAACAATAATAATAACAACAATAATAAAAAGACTCAGTTCCAATTCTCAAGACATTCCATGGAACAGTTTTAACATTTTTAATATGCAATAAGCAATGACCTTGTATCTTAGCTATATATAATCCTTTCTCTCCTGAAACTAAGCAAAATGAAGATTTAGCCTACACTCTGCAAACACATCAACAATTTCAGCAATCTGAATATCCAAGACATGGGATGTGTCAAGACATGAGACAAACATTAGCACAAAGTTTGACTTGAGCTTCAAACCTCAGGCTTAGCCTCTTTTGTGCAAATTATTTGTGGAGCATGTAAGCCTGGGACAGATCGTGATTTCAGCAATCAGATGCAAGCTGGTTAAAACCTTGGGACTCTGGCAGTAGCTTTTTGTTGGAAAATTTAGCTGACATTGATCATTCAAATTTTCAAACATATGAACCCACACAGATAAAAACAGATAAGAAAGGATTGTACATGTCCATTTTAATCAAAATTGATCTTCAGCTAGAGTTGTGAAACAACAGTTTTGAAAATAAGACATAGGAGGGGAAATCATTGATTTGATCAGGCTAGCAAAAGAGATAAGGACATCTACAGATAAGACTTTAGTCAAGAACTCTGAACAGGCCTAGAAGCTGCTTGTATTACAGAATCTTCAGGTCAACTCCAGGTTAAAAATAAAAGCCGAGATAGAGAGCTCACACAAAAGAATATCTGAAGAACAGTACATAAAAATAATTAGGAATAGATTATACTGAGTCATAAAACCTTTCTAGGGACAGAGAGGGATTAAACTGAGCAATGAAGTCTTTCTAGGGAGATTCAGAAGGCAAAAATCAAAAATAAACTACAAACATTAAGGAAATTTATTCTGCAATTTCTTAAAATTTAAAATAATTCTTTAGTCAGCATTTGGTAGGCTGACTACGCAGAAGTGCATTAAGATGTTACAGTTTGCTGTGTACAGTTTGCTGTGTAGACCTGACAGTGCCACTATTACATTGGAATGAAGGAAATATGAGAAGCAGTACTAATTCAGAAGGAAACATTTTACACATGACTCCATGGGATAGCTGATTTGATACTCTGGGGTGATCCCTGCAAAAGCACCACATTGGAAAACAAGGGTATTATTACCTCAAATGCTACTCAGAATAAGAGATGAAGACAGACATGATACACATTAATTTCAGAGAAGCTGCTATCTGAATATATTACCAAAGTATTGTCTTTCAGAGAACAAATATGGAAGACTCCTTTATGTTTTTTCTTGTTAGGTGTGATGATATAATGCCAAGGGTAACCTCCAATTTGAAATGCATTCTCCAGAGAAGATGCTTCAAATAGCAAAGGTGGGGTATCTGCAAATATTCGGTAATGTTAACACCATTAGTAGCAGAACAATCATAATTCCATTGATCCTTACAATTCTAAATTCCAGTAAAGCTACTAATTGTTCAGAACTTTTGAAGACTGGTGGAAGTGCATTGGCTGTGAATTTTTTTCCAGCACCAGCTATGCTACCTCAGCTAACGTCCAAGCACAAATCTGCAGCTCCCTGTGGAGGGTTACTGCCTTCTCAGACGTTGATGCTGAACTGCTCTTCTAATACCTTTGACTTACTTCACTCCAAATGAGCTGGATGAGCAAAGACATAGCAAATAATTAAAATTAATCCAGTTCATCTGACTGAGAAAGGATGTACACATGAACAGATCAAAAGACCATATCAAAAGGGTCAATATTCTCTTGGGAAAAATAGCCATAAATAGCTGGAAACAGCAAGCAGCAGTCTCAAATAACAGCATTAAATGCAGAATCTGAATATTCTTTCTCCTTTTGCGTAATACAACAAAATAGTGTGGACCACAATGAATGCAATCTATAATCAATAAAAATATGGACATTTTTGTAATTAATGTTTTTTTAGTTTTCCTTTTCAGTTCAGTTGGGATAAATTATAGAGATGTAATATGCCTTTCTTACAAATCTTCTGTTTAGTAAATGAGAGAAGCATCTTTGAACGAAATGGACCGCACAGAACTTTACAACTTCTGACAACGAGCTAAATTAAAGCCATTTCTACAGCTGCCATAACTGAATCAATTTTAGACTGAAGATCAGCTCTTTTTAACAATACAAAGAAAAGCTGGGGAAAAAACCTGACAAAATGTGGAGAAAATCTGCAGTTTCAACAGGCATTTAAACTGGCAGAGTATAAAAACACAAACTGAATTACTGTGAGGAGAGCAATGTTCTTATCTGGACTCCTGTGTGCCAAAGGTTTTATCCAAATTTAGACTTGTTCTTATCCTGCTTAGTCTAGATAATTATCCAGGTTCTAGCCAACGGTGCTGAGATGTCACATGACATGAGATACTGTGTTTACAGAGTGCTTCTTGCTTCTCTCTTCTTCCTTTGTTCATGTTTCCAGCATCTAGATTGAATGGAATTAGTTCACTGCCAATGGAAATGAAGTCTTTCCTGAGATGGAAAGTGGCTAGTTGTCTAGCTGTCTTTTGGACTAACGTATAGGAAATGGGAGATTCTGTGCAAGATATAACAAAGTTATAAAAAACTCAGGCATCTGCTGAAAATGTAGGGAATATTGAAGATGGAAGCATAAGCAGAGGACCTACTGATATTAAAATCAGTCAGAAAATGAAAAATGAGTTAAGAAAATTTGTTAACATTTAGTCCTACCAACTTTTAAAATAAAATATCTAGCAAGGTTCCTCAAAAATTCTGGTAGATGGACTAAATGATACAATTAAATATGTATATGTATGGTACAATTAAGTAGTATATCAATCCTGAGCAGTATAGACTGTTGATAAAATATGCCTTTCTTTTTATGTTCATTTGGCAAAGATTTGCAAGATCATAGCCACTTAAACAACTGTGGTAATATCACTCTGCTGCCTCAACTCTCCTGCTGTGTCACTTGCTCTCGTTGCTTAACACCCGTTTTATTGTTTGCAAGTTCTTTCCCAAGTCTTGCCTGTTTTCAATCTCCAGTTGAGCTTCTTTGTTCACTTCCTTAAAACTTTCCACACTCATCTAAAATAAAGTCATAAAGTAGTTCATGGCAGCACTAATAAGTATTTGCTCTAAAAAAAAAAAAAATCTACAAAGTATCTTCTTCCTTGTTTTCTTATGAAATTACTGTATCCTCTAACAATAAATCAAACTAGTTTTAAGTTCTGGACCTTTAGAAGTTACATAATGAAGATTTATAGGTACTTTTCCATTCCTTCCACTGTGACCAAAATCAAATTCCTCACCAGTTAACAGGTGTAAATGAAGTGGTAAGTACATAATTTTGATCTCTATACACTTCTTTTTGGGTATCTCACACCACAAAAACAGTACTGTAATAATGGCCATCCCCTTCAGGCAATTTCTGTAGGGAGGCTAGGACTAAATAAGAAGGAAAATGACACACAATTAAGTTATAGTAAATACAAGCCTAAACTCTGAAATAAGATCTTAAGATCTTGCTCACTGAAGCATTTGGCCATCTTCTTCTTAGAAGAAAACAACTCGAAACCCACAGAAATACAAGTATCTGCAAAGAGCAGCCATGGCAAATGTGTGTCATGAGTTCAAAACTTCCACAAGCTCTTGCATAGAATTCAAGATCAAAAATGTTTTTTCCAGTACACTGGTTTTAAATCTCAAAACTAAAAACTACAATGATCTACAAGCATGTTTTCCACAGGGCCCATAATATTAAATGGAGGTTTCGCAGACTGAGAGAGAGAAAAAAGAGGAAAAATTTCCCTTTGCAGAAACTGAGACATCAATTATAGCAACCTACTACTTTGTGTTGATAAAACATTGCATTTTAACTGAAAGCCTTTACTGTGTAAGTCTGTATTTTATGTATTCCCTCATTTTTATGTAAATCTGGATGGTTTGTTTCTTATTATCTGACAGTTGAAGAATATAAAGATCAAAAGCATTTTTATGTGGACAATCACCTGTAAAAACATTTAATAGAAAAACCTTCAAAATTAAAGAACTAAAAGAATGCATTCTTTGATGTTTGTGAAACCAACTTTTTTTTTCTTTCTTTACTTTTTTTTTTTTGCAAGTGCCTTGAGTGTGAACTTGTGAGAATGTATTTTTGTTTCAAAGAAAATGTCAGTCTTTGGTCACTCATTAAGAATCTTAGCACCAAATTCTAATCTTAAATGCACCAACAGAAATCACTGTCTGATTTCAGAGAAATTATAGTCATTACACAAAGCAGAACATTTTTAAGTTAATGATTTAAGGCATAAGAATTGTTTTTAATAATTTGTTCTCAGGAGTTAATTTTACTGAAAGTGGCACATTTCTGACAACCTAGAATTACCAAAATGCAAGTCAGACAAATTGTATTCAGTTTTCTTAAATTTCCTCTGCAAATTAGATTAAATGTTCTCACATGTTTGCTTACATACCATGTACTGTTTCTAGGTGCTACTAGCAGCTATCCTAGCCCTTCCTCTTTCCCAAGAGCAGTTGTGTCTCAGAAATGAGGAAGAAGTTTCCATTTCATGCATTGCTTATGAAGTTTTTAAGATAGCTTAGTTGCTGTAATAGTTTTCTAGGTAGTCTTATATAATTATAATTGTAATTACAACTAAAGCAAAACACGTTTTTACTATAATGTAAATCCAGAAATATAGCTATGGCACAATATAAGCACAATAATTTTAATTTTCTTGGTGTGAAATAAGTAATAATTAAATCATAAAAGCCAAGATAATACAAAGATCATAATTACCTGTTATTTTAATGTTACATGGAAGACCAAATGGATACTTTCCAACAACTCCCACCTGACCATTCCAGTTGAATTCTTGTCCCAAATCAAATGGCTGTTCCATGAACTAAAATAACACACAACAATTTAGCTTTATTGATGCATATTTACTTACTGTTTAGTTTTACTGCTCCATTGCTACTGCATTCTTTATCCTGTAAGATACTGCTCAAGGTCTTATTTTCGAATCAACGTTCGATTTTTGATTGGAAGGATATAAACTCCAAAGGCGCCCTGCAGTTCTGTTTGAGATCAATCTTCCACACCCACCAGTTTTTGGCCTTAACAATCATCTAAAGCTACAGGCTAGGTGTGTAAAGAGGAGCACATCTGGTCTAAGGTTTACATAACTCCTCTGAAGTGCCCGTCTGACCCCCCCATGTTCTGCCACCTGTAACTAGTGCAGGCAGAATTTTCTGATAGTGTATCCGTTTACATCTTCTGACTATAAAGAAATTTAGGCAGGAACTCTATCCTTTGACACAATCCCCATGTACCTGTGCAGCATTATGTGAATATTTATGACTTGTTGCCCTAAAATAGCACACACTGTATGAAAACTTATGTATTTCATTACCTGTTCCAAAATGGCCTTGAAGTTATAGAGTCTGACCAGACCCACGCTATACATTACAATCAGGATTCCATTAGAAACAGCAACATCTGTCACACTATTGCCAAATATCTGGAATAAAAGGAAGCAAAATGTATTCTATTAGAGAAGAAATAATTGAGACAGTGCAAAATAGTGACATTATGTCCTTAATTTTGCAATCACTTTCATTTTTTATTCTGATCAAACCCTATGATCAGTGTTTTTTAAGTTCATAAAGTTTTCTGTAATTTATCTGTCCTACTGAGTTTCTGTAATACTTTGCACTGCTGTAACACCTAAGGTTAGATTAGTCATAATCTGCAAGCAGATTCATTCCCTAATCAGTTCTCAGTATATCTTTATACCATGTTACCCTGATATTATCATACATGAATAGATTATATTATCCAGCATGTCACAAGAATGTTAGCAGAACTAGCAACTCAATCTACAAGTCCTGATTTCAGATCTTCTTTCTTTATCACCAGGGTAAAATACTAGTCTAATCATAGCTCTTTGTACAGCTGTACCAAAACTACATTATCCAGCTGTCACAGAGTACAGCATCCTCTCTGAATCCAAATTAGACACAACATGAGAAGCTTTTAATAATTATGCAGTATTCATTTCTGCCACTGTTTAACACATCACTGAGAAACCCCCACAAACTAATTCTTCATATTTAATGAATAACAACATGTGATGTTTGTAATTTTTCCAATAGGTATGCTTAGAAATGTAGTTTTCATTTCTTTAATCTGACTATGTGAAAAAAGCAATTAAACCAGTTAAAACAGGCTTAAAAACAATTAAAAAATATAAAGAAACCCAAAAGATGCAAGACTCCTACATCTTAACACTATCAGTGATCTTGTGATCTGTTTGGTTCTGAAAGATATATTCAATCCTGAGACTTTGCCTTTTATTTAGACTCATGGCTCTTTCAATACATTTGTTAGCTTAGGTCCCAGTGTCTTCCAGACACAAACCTTAATACTCTTCCAACTCTGAAGTCTACTTTGTATCTTTGAGACCTTAGCCCCTCTGAATTCAGAATTTATTGAGTAACATTTCAGTAAAGCTGATGCATGAGATGCATTCTGCAGTGTTAAACAGTAACCCTAATCTAATATAATCTAATAGTTATATCAGGCCTGGCATTGCATTCATTGGTTGCTTCTGCTGCTGGGTGTATTCTCACATCCCAAATTCTGCCTTGCCATTACTCCCAGTTGTAACAATTTCTCTCATGAGTACTTGGCACAGACCCAGCCGAAGCATTACTCTTTCAGATGTTTTGCCTACTACGACCGTGATGATTCTGGCACGCCATTCCTAACCAGATTGAGCATACCTTTGATACTGGTAATATTTTTTCCAGCCCTAAGTACTTGCAGAACAATACACAATGCCCCCAAACTTTCATGGGCCCAAATGAAAAAGTTTAACCCCACACCTTCTCTTGCTAGCCCAATCCCAATTACAGGCTCAACCCAACCTAGCAGCAACTAAAACTCACTCATAGCTCTGGACCCTAAACGAGACTGTACCTCACAGAACCTTGAAGAGAGAGTTTGCATGTTTTTACTGTTCCATTTGTAAGCTGTATCCAGGGTTTTCTTGGCTTAAAATAGAACAGTAAAACTTGCCATCTACCTCTAGGCTTCCCAGTATACAGATTCTTACTTACAGGTTGCAAACTGAACTCAGAAAGGTTGTTTGCTCTTGACTGGTAAATCAAGACATATTTACATTTGTTATCCATTAACAGTGATAACAGAAGTTTGAAAAATTTGTAACTGTACAGAATTCATAGACTATTACTAGGACTGGGTCAGAGGCCTATCTGTCTTTTGTTAAAGAGGTGAAAAGAAGTCTACTTTAGGATTTGCTGATTCTTACAATTGCTCTAAATAAAGGCTAAAGTCCTTCTACATGTCAAAGAGTAACCCAATAACAGAATGCATTTGCATTTTCTCTGCCGGTCATTAGAATTAAGAATCTTGCCCCCAGCGCCCCTATCAGACACAAGAACACTGTTGCTAATTAATGTTTCAGCTGCTTTTACAAGCTGTAAGTATGGCTTCTGAAATTCTGAAACAAGTGCCTAAACTAGAACTGTCATAGAACTACAGTACGGATCAACTTTAACGGAGAAATTAACTTACCTTTTTGTTTATTTCTAGCATTCCAATGAAAGAAAGAGGTAAAACTTGGAATACAGCAAGATAAAACAATACAGACTGTTGTATTCCTGCCTAGAAAAGAACAATATTGAATATAGTTATTAATGGTAGGACACCTTGATCTTCTGCCATAATAACAAATTATAATGTCTCCATCTTTGTACTTGTACATTTTTTTGATCAATATTGTAAAATTGATGGTTTTTCAACAAACATACCTGCCGTGCTGCTGCAGGGAGCTTATTCTGAATTGTCTTTACAACCATTACCTCTTGAGGAGTATCCCAGCTCAGATACCTATTTGTGATAAGAAAGGCCTATCTTAATCACGTAAAAAACCATTCATTAGTAAATATATTACTTCACATAAAATGTAATCTGCTATAACTATGCAGATGCCTATGCCCAGGCAAACTTCAGTATTTGATTTGAAAGAGGTGCTCAAGATGTTTGCTGTTTGCAATAGTGCAGAACCCACAGAAGTAGGGATGGCTTATTTCATACAGGATTGTGAGAAAAATTTGGAAAGCATGAACACTTCCCATCTTAGTTTTTCTCCTTCCTTTCATAATCACTGCCTTCTTATCCTTCAGCCTAAAGGAAATAATTTCTTCCGAGAACTGAAAAAAAAAGCAGCAGTTTACCAGAAGCAGTAACTGCTCTGCTTTAAAAGAGCAAAATGGAGAAGAATGTTAGCAAGTTCAAAACAGCTCAAAATTTAAATGTGTTTTTTGTATGTTTGTTGAGGTTTGTTCTACAGCTCTTAAAGGTCCTTTCCTGGTATGTTGCCATTGCAATATTAAAGGCTGTAAAGTTGTCAGAGAAAAGCAAATAGTAGCATAGGTTTTGTGGAACTTGATACCAAATTTAAGACTATAATACTTAAGTTGATAAAATTCTTCTACAGGTAAGAGCATGCAGGAGCAATACTCCAGGTAACATTCTAGACTAACAAACCTGTAGTCAGCCACAGGATGGTACTAAAATAAACACGACTTCCCTTCTCCACTATAATACTAATGACTGTTAATTATATAAAGCCTAGTTGTTGTTTAATACCTGAAGGACTTGCAACAGGAACCAGCAAGGTATATTTTTTCCAGTACTTCTCCACTATCAGCAGAGAGACGTAGAAGCCAGTTCTGCACCGTCAAGACTATCAGGGAAGCTTTATAATCTGAGGGACTTGGTAACATTTCCCCCTGCATAAAAAAAAATTATTAGAAAAATAGTTGTACCAGGAGGATACATAACATTTGGACACAGTCAGAAGAACACAAAACTTAATACACATTCCTCAAAAGCTAAACGAGGAAAGCAGCCTGCTAATGGCATCAGCATCTCTAAGATCATGTCCATGCCAAATAATCATCTATCACATAAATAATCTGTTGTCACACTTTTTGCAAGACAGTTACCTTTTCTAGAAAAGACATCTTTTAAAACTTCCTTGCCTTGCAAAAAATTAAGTGTAACTGCTTATTGATCTATTTGATACCAGTCTTGAAGAGAAAATTGTTGAAGTATTGCAAAATAAGACATTCAATGGTAACTCAACAGTAACTGCTAAGAAAAGTATTTACACTGCTTTATTTTTATGCACCTCAAGGATTGGCCTAATATTTCTAAGATCTGTGGACACTGGATGGGAGAAAAACTCCTTGTGGGGGAGAGAAATTATATAATATATTAATTAGAAACAGCAGAACATATTTTGGGCAGAGTTGCTTCAATGGGCCTTCAGTGCATCTGCTTTTTCATTTTTTTAATGTGAACAGATCTAGTGAAAACTAAAACTCCCAGCTACTGCCCTTGCTATTTAAAAAATAAAGAAAAATATAAACAGAATCTATTTTGTAAGGAATTAAGAGTTAGTTGCATAAGCATAAAGGCATAAAATCTTCCATGAACACTTACCAGAAAAGCATTTGAATGCACTACTGAGAAATGCAGAGAAGTATACCTCCAAATGTTCAGTTAATATAAATCAGCACATGTTGCAAACCTTTAATGAGCTAACTCCATGAAACATTGAGAAAGTAGTTTGCAGGGAAAGAGTGCTCTATTCTAAACATATTTCACTGAAATATATTCATTTACTATTTTGCACAACAATGCTCTAGTAAAAAATAATCTTACCAGTGGGCATTCCAATAATAAAGCATCTTCTATTTTTTCTGACTTAGCACACTTTGACTTTTGATAAAGTATTCTTGGGGCTTGTGCAATGCTAGAGGAAAATGATGGATAATCATTAGTCTGTTCTGTAGACCACATTCTATCAACAAGTCATTTCATACAGTCTTATAAATCCTGCCTTTTCCTTAGGCAGATCAGAAATCTAAAGTCTTATTTTTACTCTGTAAATATAACTGAAATTTCTCTCAAAATAGGGCCTAATAAACAATAGTTAATATAATGTGACATTTAAAAGCTAACCTTCTCTATATCTCCTGGTTTGGTGTTATGGTTTGGGTAGGGGTTTTGTTTGTTTGTTTTGGGTTTGTTTTTGTTTTTTTTTTAGTAACAAACTTAATAGTAACACTCTTCCTTTAGTGATAAACATTAAAAAGAAAGCATATTTCAGAAACTAACGATCATCCTGGAACCTTCCCCTTGAGTTCTTCCAATGTTGCCTTTCATAACATAAAGGTTCAGATATTTTTAAACAAACCCTACTAACTAAAATGAAAGCTTTGTACTGTGCATAGTTTTCCCCTCTGGAAGAGGATGAGACAAAGATAAACCTGAAAGATGTTAGACAGGTTAACCCAGTACTGAAAGCATTCAGACAATGTAGGAATAGAAGTAGATTTAGATCTCAGCTGCAAGTGATAGATTAATTTAATTAACTCTCAGTGGTTTACACCGACAGAGTAATTTGTCTTCTATGTATCATATGACTTCTATGTCTCAAAACTGCTCTGACCACAACTTACTCAGCAATGCAGTTCTCCAAGACCATGCTACTTCCCTCACAGGAGGGACGGGCAAGGACAAGGGCTGGTGTAACAGATTTCCCGTCCTCTGCCCTGCCATATGCTGCCTCCTAACCTGTGCTTCTGCAACTGATGATGGAATAAGAGAGTACATCAGATCAGAGAACTGATCTGCAAAATAAATTAGCAAAAACCAGCACATGCTCTGCATGCTGTACTTTCACATGAAAAATAATTTACCTATTTTATACAGAATTCATAGACATGAGGCTTGTTACGTTGCCTGATTTTGTGACACACTCTAGTACACTGCTAGTTCAGATTACAGAGAACTACTGTTCATTTGGCTTTTCAGTGCCAGATTATAAAATGGTGATAATCTTCCACTCTTATTAAAGTACTCTGAAAGCTGAAGTTAATACAGCACCAGTAAGATCAGACTTTCTTTTATCAAAGCAAGTGTCACATTAAAATACAAGGGCATCTAAATGTAATTCAACAGAGATTTATGCTCCTGGTTATTTCTTGTTCCTAGGTAAATTCCAGTCAATTCATAGCAGCTATTTGAATGAGTAAAGTTAGCAACATGTCTAACACAGAATCACAATCTCAAAACTGTCGGGGTGCCTTGTAATTGTAAATTTATTACCTGCTAATACAGCACTGGTAATTGTCCATGTATATTCTTCCTCTTTCATATGCAATAGGAGATGCAGAATGAGTTGTCCAAACATTCTTGAATTTAGTACTTTCCTGAAACACAGTAGTTGTAATAAGGATGGCTTTTGTAACAAACTTTGCTTCTGGAAAATATTTTATTTGGCTCCTGCAGCTTAACAACTTACATGAATTGAAACTTTATAGTTGAAAATATAAAAGAGATTCTTATTTGTTTTTTTTTTAACCAAATTAAAAGACTTTTCTTAAAGAAAAATTGTCTTTTTTTTTTTTAACCAAATTAAAAAGATTTTTTATTACCTGTAATGGACAGCATGGGTGAGGGACGTTCTGTCATTATCTTACCTGCATTGAAGCTGGCAACTAAACTTTCATGGTGACTTTTGAAATCAAGAACTAAACTCCCCAGAGTTTAAATATGCATAGAATTCTTTTATATATAATTAATTGTATTTATTGAACATCTAATTCCATTTTGCCGGCCGTGTTTGGTGTGAAAGGTAGAAAAATGTGTTTGCAGTTATTTGCAAAAAGCGCCTGAAATGTTAATGGAATAAACTGCTTCCATAAAAGTTTCTTGCATGCATTATAGGTATCAGTAGCTTTATACCATTAACAAGGTTCTAGTCTTGCAAAAAAAGTGTAGGTCAAATGTACTTATTTTTATTTCAATAAACTTTGCATGCCCATTGATCTAATTGCATTAGAACACACTTCAGCTGACTTCCAATAAGCATATTTTCAGTATAACATAACTGCCAATTCCCTTCCACTTCCAATGTATTCCTATCAACTACTGCATGGGAGCAGTAATCATTCTGATTAAAAAAAGAGTTCAGTTTCTAATTGGTTTAATTCCTTTTTTTTATTATCCCATCAATTCACTGATTGGTTAGGGTTATGTTTACCTGAAGAACTCTGCTGACTAGCTTAGTTGTGAGAACTCCTTTCAAGTTTAACGTTGATGCTCTCTTAAGCACTATGAATTTAATATTGGTATTAAATATGAAGCCATTTTAGGGAAATAAGTGCTATAAAATCTCACAAAAGCTTATTTATAACACAATTATTAGATTTACAGGTGCTTCTGCAGTTTTTGCACAGCATAATCGTCTCTACATTTCTAGGTCTGAGACTCGAGAAGTAAATTTAACCATTTCTAACTCTCCTCAGTAAAACTGCACATTTTTTTCCCCCCAAACTTGTTCGTCAGCGTGACCAGGGACTTCTCAAACACCTGGGCTAAGCACTGACACTCAGTCCCCCCGACTGACAGCCAGTACCCGCAGGGATTCAGCCAGCGCCGAAACGCCCCGCTGTTACCTGACACATGATCTTCCTGAGGAGTCCCAGGTTTTTCCTGTGGGCGACACCAGCATCCCTGGCATAGAAGCCGTGGGCCCTGCGGGCGAGGACGCGGCAAACGTTGTGCGGGCCGGGCGCGCGGGGCGCCCTGACTCGGCGGGCCGCCTCGCAATTCCCGCGGCGGGGGGGCACCGCCTTCCTGCCCGCATGCCGGCTCGCCCTGCCTGCCCCGCTCAGCCTGGCGTGAGGGTCGCGAGCCTTGCTGGCATCGGGCCCGGCCCGGATTTTCTCGACGCCCGCGAGAGTGAAGCCGAAGCGGGAAAGCTCGAGCGGCTCTTGTCTTGACTCACGAGAGACGCGCTACCGGGCCTCCCTTATGGGCTCACGCTCCCGCGCGTTCCCCGCCGACAAGCGCGAGTTCCCAGTCAAACGAGCACGGACCACGCCCTGCGCCGCCGTTCGCCTCCCCGTGGCCCGCGAGAGGTTACTGTAGTTGCAGGGCGAATACGCGAGCGGCGGCCGGACATTCACCTCCCGCCGCGGTCCCGGCCCGCAGCGCTGCACGGACCGGCTGTCCCGCGCCTGGGTGGCGGAGCGGGGCCGCTCCCGACGGCAGCGCTGCGGCGTCGGCCAGGCACCGCTCGGAGGACCGGGCAGGAGGGAGGCGCTGCGCGGGGGTCGGGGAGAGCCGCCGAGCTGCCCAGGGAGCTCTGCCCCGGCCGGGCTGGCACCTGCGGGCCGGTGGCACCGGCCACCACCCCTTTTGGGTACGGCGGGGTGGGATGGAGCGTACCGGGGCTTGGGGGAAGGTCGGAAATGTTAAGGGATTTGTTTAACCCTGTTTAAGACTCCAAGGTCAACAGCAACTCCTTAAGATGGATGACGCTTCAATTGTGTATTTTTAGAGCTACATTCCAAAAGTTGTCACAATTATCAGTCACTAATTGCCGGCAGAGCAGCTGAAGTCTGCGGATAAACTTCTTTCCCTTGCTTGCCAGAGGCCGGGCGCCCACATGGGGTAACGCGGAAGTTGCTGATATTTTGTGTATTTTGTCTGTGTCTATTCTTCAGGGTCTCTGAGTGAAACCTTTAATCTTCACTGATACTGTAAGCAAAGAGAGAGGCCTTTAATTTTCTGGTGCTTTACAGTTATTTGATGAAGTGAGTTAAACACACAAACACGGTGGTTGCAGTTGCTCCTTCAAAGACCTGGGTGAGACAAGTGCGTGCATCCTGCCCAGTGGATCTGCAACACTGCCAGGGACTTCAGAGCTGACAGGGCAGGTTGCAGCTAAGCCAAGTCCATATGGACACCCAGAGTCTTGCAGGAATGTTAGTGAATGAAGTGCTTCAATATAAATTGTGGACAGTAGTAAAATTCACGTTGCTCTATCCCAATTCTCATCATCTTTAATAGAAGGAAAACATCGTTTGTGTTGAGACAAATCATCTTTTGTTAGACGGTACAGTTAAATGTTCGATATTTCGCAGAAAATAGGATTAAAAACAGTGTAAGTGATTGCATTTGGAGGTTTAGATGCATCTTCACTGTGCATGTATATGTGGTGGCACAAAGTCACCACAGCTCCTTTTTTTCCTCTTCTTTTTCCTCCTTCCTGTGTAAGCAGCAGCCAGCAGAGGGTGCGCAGGGTAACGGGTAACTCTTCTGTGATTCAAGTAAATGTTTTCAGAACATCAGCAGAGTTTATCTCCCGTTCTCTCTCTCCCTCTGCCATTGTAGAAACTATTTTCTCTTTCCTCGACTATATTTGACGGGCTACCTGGCAGCTGGTGTAAGAACAGGCATTTCTCACTCAATATTTGTGTACATGTGATTAAAATCATATGTGGTGGCATTGGTTTGTTTGTTTTTATCTGCTTTGCTTTTTAACCAGTGTTAACTGTGTTTTCTGTATAGAAGTCAGAATAAATCAAAATAATTTTTCTTTTGTTTTTCTCTTCTCCTTGGGAGTCAGTGCTCTGCAGCAGTTTTACTGAAGTTGCTGTATGCCCACAGGGAGGTCTTCATCATTCCTGGTTATTATGCACGAGGAAGAAAAACAGTTGAAAATTTTAGATCTGCTGAGTTTGAAAAGTTGTGAAATATCCTATTGTTTCAAATGCGCATATTTTTTTGGAAGCATATAATTGAAAAACTAATCATGAAACCTCAAGAGGGCATGATTAGTCACTTGGTAGAATAGAATAGCAGTAAGCATTCAGTTGATGAATGAGTCTGGTTGACAGTAGTCGCCCCCATCCCTCTGGATTTGAAATATTAAGAAATATTAATATGTATGTATTTTAAAAATAGCCACTGGTAATTCATAATTATACCTTCTGTGTTACCATTATCTTGAAATTTTTTTTCCTTTGTGTCCATGATTGTCACTTGCATCTGTTTTGTGTAAGGTGTTTTGAGTTTTGGTAGTGTTTGATGGTGATAAAATAGATCAGCTGTGCTTTACAGGAGAGTGTTGGGGATTAATGGTCAAATGTCTAGATAAGCTTCTAGGTGCCAAGCAAAAGGGACTGTATGAAGTTAATTGTTTCCAGAATACTTTTCTGTCCAGGAATGTAACATAAGCTGCACATACTGTTCCTAATATAGGCTGTTTTTTTCTTTATAACAGAGACTCTACAAGTTGGCTTAGTGATTGGAGATGGAAAAAGTTGTTATATTTGTAATTGGAGATCAGTCAAATGTCAAAATATTTTCATCTAGTAAGTTCATTAAATTAGCTTCTTGGACAGAAATAAAAGGTTATTTCTGTTCTTTTTGATTTGTTTTTTTTTTTTTCCACTGACATCTCCCTCAGAACTGATACTTTTAAAGGATTTTATTCATCAATTAAGTGGTTTACATATGTTTTGGGGTGTAATCCACCATTAAAAAAACATTAAAACAGTTCCTTTCTCCTGTATCTTTATTTTTGTCTCTGTGGGTGTGACTGCTCAAGGTTTTAATGGCAACATCAATTAAAAATGTATTCTTTCAGGTCTAGCTTGCATTTGATGTGTATTCATTCTTCTGCATGTCCACTTTCAAAAAGTATTGCTAAAAGTGCTGTGTTAGCTGGTTTGAGGAGAGGAGGAGTTTTAAGGCTGTTTCTTAAAATTTCTCAACTAAACTGACCTATACTTGTAACAATGACAAAATTATAAAGGATAAAAGGCAGTACTCCACAGGGAAAAAAAAGTCTTCCATGTTGCTTTTCAGCATGGTTATCAATTGCATTGCTTCTTTAAAGTTTTTCTTTTTCTGAAAAATAGCTATGCTGCCACAAAAATTAGCCATTTTTAATGTAATTCAGTTTAGTGTTAATTTCTTTAAAGATGAAGGTTGAATTGCTTTGATTAATAATAAAACATAAACTATTCCTGACTGTGCCTCTGAACAAGGAAATAACTCCTAATTCTTTCAGACATTTCTTGCTGTCGTGACTTCAGGGTATGATCATGTTACCTGACAAAGGGTGTTTGCACGTTTCATTAACAAAAATCACTTAGAGAAACAACTGAGCAAGGACTTGCTTCTGAAAATGTTATTTAGGTTTCCAAGTAATTTAGATACTTTTTCAACTTTTAGTAGCTAGGTTGTCCACTTATCTCATGATCTGTGGATCACTTTTAATTCTCAGGGATATACATGCATGTCTCCAAGGGGTTCATTCACATTTAACACTGGATGCAACAGTAAATTTAAATTCCACACCTACCTCACTCTCTTTGCTTTTTCCAGAATTTATCAGCTAAAATTGTTCACTTACCACTCAAAGGATTACATTTTCATAGAAAGAGTTTCATATCTGGATTTCACTGATGCAAGATCGTCTTAGTCATCTGACTATAATTGCCATCTGTGCATCTTTTCATGTTCTTATTGAGATGTTTAGAAAGCCAAAAAAAATTATGTGACTAGCCTAGCAGCTGAATCATATTTTATGGTGAATATCAATGCTGGCACAGGAAATGCAAGATACTAACTCAGATCTTTTCGAATGATGGAAGAAGGAAGAGGATTTGTAAACAGTTTGCATTGTAATAATGGAATCTTTATCCAGGCATTACTGTAATTTAATAATAATAATTTTAGATCAGATTGTGGTTTGGGGTTTTGAAGGATTTTCTATTTGTTTTTGTTTTCAAGAACATTCCCTTTATGTAAATTACACATTTTGCAGAAATTGTCGTAATGTCTTAATTTTCATGTCTCATAATAATTATTATATCCCATATATGTTAAGTTATGCATTGTGTTATGAAAAATGCACACGTATTTTCAAATACAAAGCATAAACAATTTGTAGTAATTGAAGTATAAACTGGAATTGTTTTAGTTGCTGAGCCACATTTAAGAAAAAAAAAGCCATAATAAACTTGCTAACATTAGAAATTCTGATTTTTTTAATAGGACAACATGATATATTTTCACTGTATGGCAGTGCCCCCATATCCTGGTAACATTGCAGTCTTATTAGCCAAAATTAACAACAATTTTATTTGACATTGACAACCATAAGGTAAACTTCATTTTATTTAATCTTTCACAAATAAAACCAAATTTTAATCTTTTTTTCCTTTTTCTTTTCTGTAGGCTTAAGTGAATAAACAATGCCCTTTTTAAAGCATGACTCATTCAAAAGTACACCTTAAATGAGTAGTTGTTCATTTAATTAGTGATTCCTTTGCCAGTTTTTGTAGTGATGTGTACAAATTAATAATTTTTGATTCACAGTACAAGATTTGTGATCAAATAGTACTATTTTCTGCAAGATAAAAATCTTCTCTTTGTAACCAATTTGCACACAATGTTTTCTAGTAGTGTCTTGTGCCTGTTCTTTTGTAACTACATTTTGTATTTCCAGTGCATTAAATTTGTATGTGTGGTTTTTACAGAAGCAGCACTCCAAAAAAAAAAAAAGAAGAAACAAAAAAAGTAGGACTAAGAATAATTTTTAAAGTCATGCAGAGCATTTGAAGGAAAAAAGAACAAAGGCACATCAGGATAAAAATAGTATTAGGAGGTGTATTTCATTTTATTCATCTCATAAAAAGCCTACCTTAATGAGAATATGCAAAAAAAAAAACAAACAAAGAAAATAAAAACCCAAGAAAAAATGCTGGTATGAGATACACACACTTGTTATCTTTTACTACTTGGACTTTCTTGATGTTGTATGAAGAAATTTCAAGTAAAGTAAAATATAGATGTATAAGACAGAATTATACATGTAATAGAAAAATTTCAATCACTTTATAATTTGCATTGGTAGAAATTTAACATTTAGGACCATTCATTTCAAGGAGGGCATTACATAGGGATCAGAAATTTTGGAAGGCTTTCTGGTGCATAATGTTTACACTCCAAAAATAAAAATCTTTCATTTCCTATTTAAAAACATAAAACCAGAGTCACAGATCTAGAATGAAATCTTTTGAAGATGATGAGTGGGGTGAAAAAGTCAATCTTGGTGACAGAATGTACCCACTAGAACAAGTGGTTTCTTTACTGATCATTTCTTGCTTGTCTTTGTCAAGGTGCAATATCAGACTTGGATTATTGTTTTACCGTATATTGCTTTTCTTTCCCCTGCCTGATAGGACTTTGAAATGATACCAAATAATTTGTCCTTCAATTGGTTTCATTCCAGCCTACTTTGTGATTATTTGGGTTTTCAGCGCACTGAAGGGATGTTGCTGTTCCGAAAAGCATTTAAATTGAACTGTAGTAGATTATTATTACTGGAGCCGATACTGGTGCTTGGTTATTTGACCCGTTTCTCATGTAAGCGACATAAACAATTAAGTTACAGCAAAATTGTAATTTGAGTTAAATGTGTTTTCAGGTCTCTGAACAAAATGAATTTCATTACAAGGCTTTCTGCTTTATGTCTGAGGAAAAGCAAGATGCAACACAGGCACCAAAGTAATAGACGACCAACTGCTCCACTTGGATCACGGATTTTAACTGATCCTTCTAAGGTCTTTGAGCATAACATGTGGTGAGATGTTTTTTCAAGGCTGATTTTCATATAATTTTGTATACTGTTTACTATGATGAATAATGATGTGTGTGTGTGTGTATAAAACAAGGTACTGCCAGTAAAGACATGTAAAGGGAGCACTAGAGAAAACTCGAGATTGTCACAAGTAATCTGACTGTTAAAAGTTCTCAATGACTTCTGTAAAAAGCTGCTGAGTACATAGTTAGTCAAGGAATGAAATGCAAAATATTGTTATGCATCAGTAATTAATTAAGAGACAGAAAGTGTAGCAATAAGATAGTCCATATTATTTATAATGGCAGAAGGTTACTTGTTAGGTACAAGGATGTTGCATCCTGGATTAGCGACCTAGTCTAAAACTGACACCACTTTGAAAGGAACATGTGAATTACTTGTATTCTTCTAAAGGTGTACTGAAGATGTTACAGATCACTCAGCAGAGATTTCCATACAGTGTGCAATTATCAAAAAGAGTAAATTGAATCTTAACATAAATAAGCGATATAACAGCAGAGAAGACATCAATGTGTAGATGTTAACCAGAAGAATTGTCCTGATTTGCAACAGTGCATCCCCATCTCTAAAAGGTATTTTTGTATTTAATGGGTGCTCGGAAAAGAGGGAGAATGCTGGTCAACACAGTGGGAAAAATTAAACTAAAAAGGCTAAGATTTTTTGCTGTGGAATGGAGATGAATACAAAACAGCAAGTGATACAGGAAGTGTAGGAGGATAGAAGAATATCTAAATCTGTTTAGAAAGTAGAAGAATATCTACCTAACATATTGGGGAAAACAGGAATTTTTCTTCCTATAGTTCATAACTTAAAACCAAGGAATATTTGATGAAAAGTGGTGAATTTAGAAGCTATACAAGAAATTACTTTCTACATAAATTTTAAATGTAGTTTTGAATTGTGTCACTATTTTTGATAGCAAGGATTTAGCAATATTAGAAAAAGAGTCTGGAAGTGGCTAATAATAACCAATGGGTAACATAACACAGAAGTAACAGATAACAAGTTTCAGGCCTTAAGCTTACTTCATAGAACTAATCTACAGTTCTTATAGTTTCCTCAGAGGTGTCCTTTGCTGTCAGCTGTCAGAGAAGTTCCTTGACAAGGTTGTGTTCTGAAATGAAGTTTCAACTTGCTGTTTGGTTTTTTTTTTAATTACTATTCTTTTTAGTAGTCCATTTTATTTGTTCATTGGTCCACTTTGCTTTTTAATCTAAATTATTTCAAAAGATTCTCTAATCAAATTCTGATTAATAAAAAGGTCTTAAGAATATGACACAGAAAATTGTTCTCTGGTTAATGAACTAGCATCTTTGTTACTCTTTTTAGTCTCTAAATTTGGACTTAACTGATTAGTTAACTAGATCTGTTACCTATTAGTGTTTTCTAAACTAGGTGTCCCCAAGCCATGGTCACCAACACTTACCATCTTAAGGCCAAATTTGGAGTTAACTGTACTTCCATATATTCCTTGGTCAAGAAAGCTGGAAGCTGGTTGATTATTGTGTTAAGAGTGTAAAGTTAATCTGTGTTTCATAAATCTATAAGCAGTGTAGTTCTTTAACATATTCCAGGCTGAGTGCTTTCTGCTAGATGTTAAAATCCTTTACCTGTGTAAATGCTGATTTAAATGTATACTATGTAATCAAGATAGGAAAAGATTTTAAAATCTTTTTTAAAAGATCTTTTAGGAAAAGGACATCCTTTTTCTGTAAGGTTGTATCTCAATGAAATTCAGTTTTGGGATTATTTTTCTGGTTGTTTGGGTTTGTTTTGTTTGTTGTTTTTTTTTTTAATTTCCCTCCAAAAAACTGATCGTGTGTAACTTCAGTTTTTCCTGCTAGCCTTTGGTGACAGTCTCATAGAGTTATCAAACTATGATGCAGATGGTTGGGATGGATTGTGAAAATGAGAGTGAATGGAACAGTGTTGTTCAGAAAATGGATCTGCAGATGCATCCATGTAGCTCAGAAAGGAAAGCAGGTGAAACTGAGTTGAAGCAGAGGTGCATGGAAGTTGTGATGGTCTTGATAAATCAAGAACCTGGCTATGAAGTGGTGTAGGTCCTTGGATCTGAAGCTCACTGAATTGGCACGGTTCTCACTAGGGAGATAAGGGGGATTAGGATGAGGGGTGGTAGTGCTGAATAGATCATACAGGGTGAGCATAAGATATTCATCTTCTCTAGCATTGATGTATGATATCCTTTTGTTTTCCACTCATCATCTTTGGTACTTCATGCTTTGTCATTCTTTTTGTCTGTGTGTGAATTGGCAGAGAGCCAAGAGCTGCTACCATTGCTGCTAGACATACTAAGCAGATTAAATTTGAGAACTAATGCTTTAGATGTTTGCTGTGGTGCTTTTCTGTCATTTCAAGAGAGAACTAATGAGTAAGGTTAAACACTGGAGCAAAAAATGTCTGCTTCTATTCAGGTTAGTAATTGGCATAGTCTTCACATTATCACAGAGATAATTAAACCCTATGTTAGCAAACAAGTTAGTGGAAAAGGACGAAGTTGAATAAGCTGAACTAAAAGCAGCATTGTTTGATCTTATATCAGGCCTACTCATGTTAACAGCTCCTGGTGTGGTTAAAATGGATAGCTTGCTTTGCTGCTGTCAGTGTTCAGCTTAAAACACTTCTGTATTTAAACACTTCTGTGCTTAGGATTCTCCTGTGTCCTGTATTTCTGCCAGCTTGTATTGCCTCATTTGAAGCATCCAAACTGTGTAAATAGTTTGCATAAGAACTATGCTATGTCTCCTCCTTTGTAGATTTTGATCAGGAAGTGCTGCTGCAGTCATGTTGTTTAGGATCTACCATACAGAAATTTCTAGGAAAGAGCCAAAAGATCCTTCTTCAGCTTTATGAATTTCCAAGGAAGGAAAAAGGGAAAAAAAGGTTGTTGAAGATGGAGGGCTTCAGGCACCCTTAAGGGCTCTGACAGACACACAATGATAGATTAAAACTGATCAGCTGAAGATTATACCACAGCAAGTCATCTGTCAGAAGGACTGACTGTGTATTCTTGCCATCCGAATAGTCCTTGGTTTCAGCTTGCTGGAATAGGCAAGGTCAAAAGTGGTGATAGCAGTGAGGGAAGCAAGTCTTTCCAAGAGGATGACTGCCCAGTAATGCTTTTGGTCATTCAGTTTATTCTACTGCAGCATGTCTGTTAGAGCCGTGACACTGCACAGGAACATTTGGCATATGAACAAATACAGGAAGGGGAGAGGCAACCTGCTGGGGACAATAATGAGAAATATTTCAGTAGAGATGCGGAAATCAAGTCTGAGGCAAGCAGACAAATACATACCAATTAGTCTCCCACAATTAACAAAAGAGGAACAGCGAAGGTCTAAGAATTAAATTACCTATATATCACCAGGTACAGAACAGGAAGATGCTCATTAGCTTTTAGAGACAATCAGCTCTTCCAAGTTGGCACCTTGTCTCTTTTCCCATAGTAACCAATGGAATTTTAGTCATGGCCTTTCAGTTAGTTGATTTCAGTAGGATTAGGATCTAATAGATTACTTGAATTATATTATTTAATTTAATCTGTTCAGACTGGATGATTTGGAGGGACAACTGATTGGCTTTTAAAAACAGCCAGCAGCACATTTTTGGGTGCTTCCCATTGCAGCCTGATCCAAACACAGAATCTGCAGGGAATGCAGTTTAGTCATCAGTGTCAGATCTGGGCTTGGTTCTGTGACGGTTTAATTGATTAACATAACATTTGGTTAACCCCTTTACGCAAATAGAGAGGACATAAACTTTGGAACCATTGTAGCACTGCTTGTCTTTTCTTATGAATGTCTCATTCTCTTTTTAAATGTTACTTGTCTCTATTCCCCAGATAAGTAAAATCCTGTTCATCAATTCCACTGGTTCCAGTTGCATAGGTGGATTATGCTCCCTGTTTCAGGAACAGCTGATTTCTTTGCTAAATGACCTCAGTTCTTCATCATAAACACTAGTAATGTGAGAAGTTTCTTGCATTAGGTGTTTGTTGGTAGGTCTATTATATTCAGCTAAACATGGTTCTAATGGGACACTCAAAATACGTTCCTAAAAACACACTCAATCTACAAGATATATATTAATCCTGTTAATAAGGAAACTACTTACTTCATACTACTTCAGTCTCTTTGCAGTTGTAAGATGTTTCTGAATCACTTGAGTTTTACCTAATTGGTGATTAATTCTTATCTATCATGCACTGAAATTTGGGGTTTACCTGTCAGTCTCCTTGTGGTCATTTGATTGCACTCAAAAAAAAAAAAGAAGTATTTGAGACAGTATAGCTAATTTGATACTGTTTTTCCTGGAAAAAAAATATTTTGGAAAATCCTATGAAAAAGCTGGTTCTTCAACTGCCTTTTTTAGGGACCACATGCAGTGGTCACAAGAAGAAGAGGAGAGTGCCAAGAAAAAAGCAGCAGAGAACTCGCTTGTGAAAGTTCAATGGGAAGACCAAGGTAAAAAATTCCTAATGGCATAAAAATTCTTATTTTAATGCTGTTTATGAAAACATTTAAAATGACTTTAGAATCCAGGAACACCCTTTTTATTTCTACATTCTCTTGTCTGAATTTTTTTGTTTGTTTTGGTTTTTTTTCCCTTTATTGTCTCAAAAGATCTCAAAGTCTGTTTTTCTAGCAATTCGGTTACTTATTTGAACAATTTTGCAATTGGGGGAGCAATAGGCTCTATGTAAAACAAGTACATCAGCATGGTACGGTTGTTCTGACTCCTTTTGCAGTTCTTCAGAATGAAACTACTACACGGGACTTTTACAGAATCAGAGGAGTGAGTTTGCATCCAGCTACGGTGCTGGGGATGAAAGTTCCCATGTCCAGTGTTCAAATGCTTTTTAATGATTAGTAGACTATTTAGAGAGCTTGTGTTTGTGCCTTGCACTGTATTTCAGTTGAGCGCCATGAAAGTTGCACTGGTCCCAGCTGGTCCCAGCTTACTGTCTTTGCCAGGCTGAGCTGGGAGTGCTTCAGGAAGCAGTATGTTCACTTGGTGTGGAAGGTGTTCCAATACAATGCAGAGTTTGCACTGTAAATGATTAACGAATTTTGTGCCTATCTACAGAAGGGAAATTTAATGTGTTCTGAGTTTCTGAAGAATGATAGCTCCAGGTTCAAACTAGCAAACTAAACCATAGACTAAACTCTAGGGTAGTTATGTATGCTAAAGCTGCAGTATCAACTTGATAGTGTCATAGAGGACTGGATTCTTAATTTGTTATAGTGTTAGAAAGATATTCTAAAAAAAATTACTTGGATATCTTGGGCCTCAGTTTACTTAGCATGTCTTGAATCTGTCAAATTAGATAGTGTCATTATGATCCTGTACTGAGTTTCACTGATATAACTATGGCACATGTTGGAGTTTATTTGAATTACCTGAGAATGTGCCTTGCATTTGTGCCCTTCATCACTCTGAATGCTCTGGGATTGTCAACCTGCCTTTTGCTGTTACCTCTCACATTCTTTATCTAAGTACAATGTTTGTTTTTCAAAAATTACATCTAATATTTTCCTTTGGTTTGTATAAAAAACTGAAAAAGAGTTCATAATTGAAAAGTAAGCTGTGTGACCATGTAGCTCGTGGAACCTTTAATTCTTCATCTACAATCAATTAGAACTTAGTTTGTGCTGGTGAGAAATGGAATAATTAGGCATTTGTCTATTGCCAAGAAATACAAGAATCCAAGGACATTTTCTATGAATGCCCCTCTGTTTAGAACTTGAATAGGTAAGCACAGCTGATAGTGTTCCTTCAGAAAGCTTCAGCTTCATTCTGCAAGTGGAAGTACATTTTGGCCTATTTGTGTAAACAATGAACGAGACTGAAGCTAACGAGCAGGTTATTTTGGGACCTTGAAAACTACAGTAAGGGGAAAAAGACAAGACAGATTTCAACAGTACTATTATATCACTAAAATAGAATAGCTCTGGTGGGCCTTTTTAAGGCAAGAGATGTTAAATTGAATGAACTCATGATACTACTTTTAGGAATTTGATTTACTTATTAGCATGCCTAGTTTCTTCTCAGGCATGCTTGCTAGTGTTGGAAGATTCTGTTAAGGAGAAACATCAATTGACAAAGTAAGGGATTTCTTTTTTACTTGGAAGTTTATATGTTTTTTAGTTTTGTCATTTTTATGTGCTTTGGAAAATTTAGTAGGTAGGCTACTTAAATATACAAAATGAAGCAAAAATTTGATAATAATGCTGCATGCATAGCTATTACACAGTGGTGCAGGAGTGACCAGTGAAACAATGCAAAATGAAGTGTTCTTCCACTTGAACCTATGTAATTCCATACTAATACAGTTTGAAAGGCTGACTTTTGGTATCTCTTTCCTTCATTTCTGAAATCTGGAAAACTTGATGTGAATTTAAGTACAAGGGTTCTGAGCAGACTTATAGAAAAGTAATGACTGTAACAAGGGGTGATAATAATTTAAAAACCTTTTGAGTAGAAGGGGTTTTCGTTTTTATACTGAAGCTGAGCAGTCTGTGAATGTGCAACTTACGGTACTGAAATCTGATATATATGACCTCAATCAACTCTGAACTTACATTATAGAACAAGTCTGTGCAATTACTCTGCATGACCAGGTCTGGCCCTTTAATAATACAATTGGATGTATTAAATGTTAATTTTAAAACATTATGCAGATTTCTAGGACAAGGCATACTGCCACCTCCTTCCCACTTCCCACTGCCTGTCTGTGCCTCTAATGATAATTCTCAGGAAATAATATGTTAAGATTTAAATGAGAGTAGTAGGAGAAATGCACCATATATTTACTCTGTGCATTTTTTATTGAAAAAATTAATGGGTCAGTGTGAGTGGGGACAAAATTAAAAAGGCAACACATTATATGATCTACACTTAGCAAGAGATGTCAGGGCTAATAAGATACTTTTGTAAATGCTTTGGGAATGAGGGGGAAAAAAACCAGGAAAAAAGATTTAGTTTGGTACTTTGGTGGAATAAGGAAGGGAAAACCATCAACAAAAGAGACATTGAAAAAGCTGTAATTCTTATCTTTTTATCAGCCTGCCTTTGAAAGGGTTAGCTGCAGTCCAGTGGCTAGCACAATTAGTGCTGGTGAGAAGGAGGAAAGATTGTTCTGGAACTGAGAAAGAACAGGTTACAAAGTACATCCATAGAGTACATGGATGACTGGAAAAGCAGAAAAGAGAATATTTGCTTTTTTAAAGAAGGGAGGTGGGAAAAAAAGAAGAGTCAGATAATTAGTTTCGGTTCCTGGAAAAATACTGGAAGAGTACATCCAGAGCTTGCAGACACTGGGTTTGAAAGAACAAAGGAGATGAATACTGGCCAGCGAATATTTTTTCAAGAATAAATCATGTAAAATCAAGCTAATTTCCTTCTTGGAGAAGGTTACAAGCCCTGGGGATAAGGGAAAAACAGCAGACGTCCTGAACTTTATCCTTAGTCAGGCTTCTGACTTGCTTTATTTGACATTTTCATAAGCAAGTTAGGCAAGCGAGAGCTAATGAAACTGCTTTTGGGTGAGTGAATGCCTAGAGAGATCCTTTCAGAACAGAAGGCTGTGCTGGGTGAGGAGTGTTTTATTCTGTGTCCAGTTCTGCTTGGTATTTTCATTAGTGACCTCAGGAAATTGGAGACTTGAAGATGATATTAAGTGAAGAGATGTTTCAAGTGTGGTGAAGGACAGGATTAAGATTCAGAAAGATCTGGACAAATGGGGGGAAAAAAGAATTTGAAATATGTAAGTTTGCTAAAAATAAATGCAGAATACTGTGCTTTGGAATAATTCCTTGAAAAAAATACTAGGCTCTGGAACAATTGGCTAGGTAGTCATTTTGCAGAAGAAGATCTGAGGGTTGTGGTGAATCACTAGCTGAATCAGCAGTCATGCTGTTGCAAAATGGCAAGCTGGGAGTTATAAACAGGATTACAGCCTGTGAGCCTTGTAAAGTACTCCTTTTGCTCTGCATTGATAATGCCTTTACCAGAATACAGCACTGAAAAGTAGTAAATCAATTGGAAAGAATCTAGAGAAGAAGAATTATAATTATCAAAAGTCTAAAAATCAGGAGTTGCATTGAAAAAAGAAGAGAGTTAGGTTTCTAGAAAAGACATTTAATGGGAGACATAGTAAAGCACTTCAAATATATAAATAGGTGTTGCAAAGAGAAAAGTGAGTAATCTCTGCTTTATCTACTTGGTTAATGGGACAAGAATTGCTGGACCTAATTGCAATACAGAAATTATAGTTAGGTAGTGGAAAAGATTTCTAACTGTTTTGAAAGTTAAGGACTGTAATATATTACTGAAGAAAGTTGTTAAACCTATATGAAAGGTGGTATTTTAAGAATAAGTTGGAGAGGTCTTTGTGGAGGAGTATGAATTCCCTGACTGAGTGAAATCCCTTCCAGTCCTATTCTTTTACATTCTAACATTCCGTTACAATCTTTTGTGAATTAAAAGATCTACTGTAAAACTGGAAAGTGTTTTGAAAGTAAGAAAACCAGTATGTTTCTTCTGACTGTATTGTTGAATGGTTAAGCATGAATTATTGTCTATATGCTATGCAGTAGCATCTATCACGCATGTTCACAGAACTGGATTTCTAATTGCTGTGGTTTTTTAAGAGATGATGAGCTACCAACAAATTTGCAATTGATCACAGAATTTCATAAAACATGAAATTAATTTCAGTTTAGTATTTCTTAAATAATTGAAAAGATGCATAGCTTTTAGAATGTGAGACAAACGAAATCTTCAGCTTGCATGTTTTGGTGATGCTGTTCTATTATGTCACTATATTAAAGAAAGTGATGCAGAAAGCCTGTCTGCCCCTTCCTAAGTGACATAAAATCTAATTAAACCTTCATAGGAATATTTTTGAGCACAGATTAAGGTAAATCCAAAATCTATATGTTTTAATTTAAAAGTACAATCTGTGGAACCATGGGTTTTTAAACTGTATATTTGAGGTCTAAATTCCATGTTGCTTTAGAGTATTTTGTAGCTAAGCTTGTATTCACCAAGGTTTTGTTCTCTTTTAATTTCAGATAAATATGAGAGAGAAGCCAGTAAATATTGGAATGAATTTTACAAGACCCATAAAAATAACTTTTTCAAGGATCGTAATTGGCTATTTCTGGAATTTCCAGAAATTCTTCCAGAAGAAAAGAGACAAGAATTGAGAAGAGAAGAAAGATCTTCAGAACACAGAAAAATAAATAGTACCAACAGTTTTTCACACAAAAATGAAATGTTTGAGGAAGGAGAAAAATACTGGAAGAAAAATTATCGAGGTGGTTCTACTGCTGTACAAGGATGTGTATATAATAAAAACAAAGCAGAAACAATTAGTGAAAATCCTCAGGGTAAAAATTGTGGAGAAGAACTTGACAGACTAGAATCTTTCCCTGGAAGTGATGCCACTTATAGAATATTAGAGGTAATGCACTGCAAAAGTTCTACTCATCATATAGAGCTCCACTTAATTGCTCAAAAATCTGATAAACATGCTTAGTAAGTATCAAAAAAGTGAGCATTTAGAATTTAACATACTATATTCATTTATGGCAGAAACTTTCACAGAAACCTAGCATATGGACTTTGTTTTTCCTTTAAAGTTTCTCCCAAATCAGAATAGGGCTAGATAATCAGATTCCATTGTCATTGAAAGTTGGGTTTCTGATTTCCTAAGGAAACTTATATTTTTAAGTGTTTTGTCTAAAAGTGCAAGTAGTTGACATATTCTTGCCAAATGGTGAAATTGGACAAGAATATTGCATTTTCTTATGCAGTTTGAGAGATGGATTCTCTCAACTTTAGAAAGACATTGAGGAGAAACATGATCATATAAATTATTTGAGAATTGTAGTATGAGCTGTTTATACCTTTTCTGTCCAACATACCTTCAACTTTAATGGGTCCTACGTGCCAACTAATTTAGGACAAAAATAACAAAAAAGGTTTTATTTGCTTGTTTATTTTAACTTTGTTTCTCTTCTGGTTTCAGGTTGGTTGTGGAGCTGGAAACAGCGTCTTTCCTATTTTGGAAGTTCTATGGTACGTAGTGTTGGATTTTCAAATATAAGACTTGTATTCTCATCTTCTTAATTTTCTCCAAATTTTGGTGCTAGACTAGTGCTGCAGAAAGTGTTGAGTGGATCATTTTACAGCCCTGAAATTCTTACTGTGCCCAGAGCACAGATAATGTTGGTAGCACCATATACAGGATACTCCTCATATTGCTTAATCTTGGTCTTGGGGAGACCATATTTGCTGACAGAGTTTTGTCTTCAGGTTCATTCAGGCTGATTTCTTGTAGTTAATCTTAGGCAGGCAAAATATTCTCTTGTCTTACATGTCACTGTAAAGCTGCCAGGTATCTCTTAAAAAGGCCAAAATCAGGGACAGTAGATAATGGCATGTGATCTACTGGAAAGAAGTTGCATTGTTTCTGAATTGGCTGGTGTACTTTGTCACATTGCCTCAGGTTTTAGTGTCAGGGAAGGCACAAGTCATGTATTGCATTACTTAATTCACTGAAACATCTTAATCCACTTAGCTTCCAGTTTTAGAAAAAACTGTTATGACAGCTTGTCCTCCCATCCATGTAGGCAGGAAGGTTTTATTGGAAAGACTATGTATGTATCAGGGGTTGAAATAGATTTCGTTTTAGTCATGCCTTCAAGAGTTTGAGTACAGAACAGTTCATTATTCTGCAACTGAATTTTTATTGCTAGTATCACCACTATACAAAAATATTCCATTTTGCAGATATGGAAACACAGCAGGAGGAATCAAGTGATGCACCAAGGTCATCCATGAAACCTGTGATAGCAATGCCTCTTCATCCCACAGGAAATCCTTTACTTTAGACAGCATGTAATGAAAGGGGAGCCCTGTTTCATATGAAAACTTTGAAAAGTAGCACTGTATAGGAAAAGATATCCTGTAGCTGTATTAGAAAAGATGAGACAAACTTTTATGTTTTCCTCACAGGAGGCATTAGTCATAGATTGGCATTTCTGATAATTAAGAATCTACTCTTTGGATATTTTTCCTGGTGATCTCTATTTTTATGCAAATCCTTCAGTCGATCACATTGGTTGATACACTGAAAAACTACCTCATTTGTCTTGTATATGACTGAGTGGAAACATCTCTTACCTTTTAGTAGGCCTGGCTTTATAGAACACTTGCTTTTACTCTGAATTTAATAATACAGAAATTGCCTTTTGTATGCATATAAAAAGAAACCAGTGTCAAGCATGAGTGTACCCTGGCTACAAAAAAACTTTTCACTTAGGTTTGTAATGTAGCTTTTAAAACTGCTTCCCCCTGCCTCCCTTAAAATTTAAGTTACTGCTTTTTAGTACAATGCATCATGAGAACACCATCCAGATCAAGCTGTGTCTTTGTTTTAGGTTGACTTTCTACATAGCTCCTATTCTACTCTAAAAAAAAAAAGAAATAACATTCTAACAAGTCAACTAGGAAATCAGTGTAACCTCTCCCAAGGGACTAGCTGGGTCCAAAACCTAGCTGCTTCTCATTGTCTCTAATAAATATCTAAATTCATCAATTCTCATGATGGGCACAGAGCTGATAAAAGTTTTGCTCGGCAGTGAGCACAGAGTATATTTTGTTCCAGAATTGTTCTCCTGTTGAGCCCTCAGAGAAGTCACTAACTCAGCTGTGTATACTGTGAGATCTTATAGGCACTGACAGAGTTTATTGATTCCCTTCTAAAGAAGCCATCCATCCAAAATCTCAAATATGTTTTTAAAAGAAATTAATTGATCGTGAGTTGATAGTGAGGTCATCCCTCAGTGGGTTTTGAGTGGCTTGCTCAGTTTATATTAAATGAATTTTTCAGAGGTGAAAAAAACCTCTTCCTAGAATTACTATTATATGATAAATGGTACAAGGAAATTTGCAACTGGCTTAGTCTTGGATGAGAAGGAAAGAGAAAAGAGTGCTACAGGAAATTCTTATTTATCCTGGCTTACAAAACAAAAGGGATAATGGAGGGAAACAACCAATACCACTTAATCTAATCAAAAGCACAGCAAGGTGACACATGGAAACCCAAACATCTACAGAACTGGATGATTTTTGCAACACCCTACCCCTGCCCAAATCATACAGCTAATTAAACTGCATGATAGAGACTTAATGCAGTGCTTCTGTAAGAAAACGTGACCTATTAACGTGCATTTATGCGTTACAACACCGGGACATTGTCATCAGTCCTGACAGCCCTCTGTGACCTTCTTTCTTTTCCTTTTTGCTTCCTCCCTGACAAGGCTCTAATTCTTTTTATACTAACTGCCTGTTGGTATTCTTACAAATTTGTCTGCCCTGTTGGTTCATTACAACCTATGTGGCTTTCCACGTGCTAGACATCAATAAGGCATGCTTGATCAAACCCGTGGAGAACCCCAAAGGGCCCTCTGTAGTTCCATGAACACTGATGTAGACTTTCATCTTTTACAATAATAATTTTTTAACTGATGTTGCTTTTGTTTTCTTAGCAATACACCTGGAACCTTTCTGTACTGTTGTGATTTTGCTTCAGGAGCAGTGGAGCTGGTAAAGGTAATTCATACACTTGCTTTAGAGTACCTTATAAGCCCATAATTCAGGAGGCTGCCAGGAAGCCATCTTCATGAAAAAGAATGTGATGGCTTTGACAACTTTTAACTGAAGTTTTCAATATTCCAAAGAACAAAGTCTTACTGTATGCAGAGAGGAATGAATACCATCAGTGAGCTTGCTTCTCAGCTTGAGTAAGATACCAGACAGAATAGGCTTTTATATGAGATGTTTTACAATGCAGAATAATTGAAGAAAAAAAGTTTCTTGAGTCACAGTAAACGTATTAACTAGTACTGTTCTCTCTGTGCCCCTTTTCATCTTTTTTCTGACAGTCACATTCGTCCTACAATTCAGCCTGGTGTTCTGCCTTTGTTCATGATGTGTGTGATGACGCTTTACCCTATCCTTTTCCAGATGAGATCCTGGATGTCATTCTCCTTGTCTTTGTGCTCTCTACTATTCATCCTGACAGGTAAATGAAGACTAAAGGGCAAAGCAAATGGGTTAAATCTCTCTTTTCGCTGGAGGTTTTCAAGAATAGCGAAAGAAGATGATGAATCTTTAATTTATTACTTAGTAAGCTACAATATGTATAAAACAAGGTATTTTAAATGCTGTTTTCCATTTTCAGGCTTCAAGAGAAAAGCTTGTCAGGCTAATTCGTTAGTGAGTCTCTAGTCTCCATCAAAATACAAGGAGTATATTGTAACTAAACACAACCCTATTAGAAGTGAGGGATTCAAAAAAACTGCAAATTAAAAACCAGACTAGTCTTCTAGAAGGAAGTCATTTTTAGTGATCAAAACTAAACATTCGTGACTTAACAGCTTGCAATATGTTGATATAGACTTAGGTTGCTGATTTAGCCACATACAATGCTTACATGCAGGCCTTTTAAACCAAAATGCATCCAGAATTTTTTAACTTGTTTGGATTAAGAAAATTTGATCTAATTTTCATGTATAGTGTTATGTTGGGTACTGTTAGCCTTTGCTAATGCCTCTCTATGTCTAATGAACCAAATTTTATGACTGTTATGGTTGGCTGATTGTGAAAATCTCATTTTTTGATGGAAAAAATGTATAGGAGGGCATAAGTTAAACTGCTTGACTCTTCCTTTAACTGGATTATATGAAGGGAAATACATGCTGTATGTGTGATAATACATTTACTACACTAAGAATGTCATTAAAATGGGCTTGGCAAACAGAACAGTATTTGCCTAAGTCTGAGAACTGTTTCTCTGCTTAAGTTACTAATGATTAGCTTTACAGAAACCCTTTCCCATATATGATACTGCTCCTTCTTGTTTGTTCAGAGATGAGCACAAGTTGTGCAAAGCCAGGGTCCAGATTCCAGAAACAATTCAAGCAGTAGACTTCAGATCTTTGTGACTGCCATGATGCTGCCACGAAGATAGTGGAAAATAGTGTTTCATTCATTAAATCAATCACTTTGCCTGTAGAAGCAGTATTCTGCGTATTTCTGTGTGTCTTTTCCTATTAGTCTTTTAAGAATGTGTTTGAGTTTTTTTTGTGGTTTGTTGGTTGTGGTTTTTCTCCCAGGGCTGACATGGATGCTTTTGTGTGCATGTGTGTGTATACACACATAAAAATTTCCGTGTAATTATCTGTATTGTGAGACCCACTTTCCAAAGCTGTGTTAGTCATTACTGCCATCTCGTAGAATTAAAATGACTGCATAAAGGAAAATGTGATCCAGATTCATCTTGCTCAGTATACATTTTTTCTGGAAACTTTGAAAGTGAGAAATGAAAAAGAAAACCAAGGGAACTGTGATGCAGAACTTACATACTTGGGAAAGATGGAAAATTTATGTGAGAGGAACACATTTATATTCAGAAAATTGTTACTTAGTGATTTCTCTTCAGGCTGTTGTGCTTAGTTTTTGATAATTGCTACTCTTGTAGTAAATTTTTAACACACTTCAGTTCTGCTAGAAGGCACCTCTAAGATTTGGTTGCAGAATTGGAAGGTATTAAACTTTCTTCAAGCTATATAATTGATGTCTTCTAGTTCTGCTGGATGAGATTTCTCAAAGCACTTTCACTTTTTATGTATGTACATTTTTTCCTTTGTGCACAAAACTTAAGTTTACATAGGCGAAGTTTGTAATTCTGGGCACAACTACCCACCTTGAAGTGTCTCTTATTATTAGGTGGTGCTGCCTTTTCTGTCTGTGGCAGCACACTTGGTTGCTTATGTTTGCAAATATCAACAGTATCCCATCTATTTTCTAAGGATGCAAGGGGTTGTAAATAGGTTGGCTAAGCTACTGAAACCTGGAGGAATGTTGTTATTTCGAGACTATGGAAGATATGATACAGCTCAACTTCGTTTTAAAAAAGGTAATTCCTGAATGGCTTTGTAGTTCATTGTTCATTTTAACTTTTTGCAAAAATAAAAGTGACATGTCCTTTTGCATTACTGTCCCAATTTCCTAGGTCATTGCTTGTCAGAAAATTTTTATGTACGAGGAGATGGAACCAGAGTGTATTTCTTTACCAAAGGTATGGAAAGTTATAGTTTCATAGAAAGGGTTAAATTTCTCTCAAGACTGAATTATAAAAACTTATCTTTAAACAAAAATTTAAAGAAGGTTTTATTACCTTTTTTAAATTCTCTGCTTTTAAAAAGACCAAAGCTAACTGTTGTAAGAAAATAATTTCCTTTATGTGTACACTTGTTGCATTTGGGGTCTTGCAAGATGGCTAAAGACATCACTGGAAATTTCTCTTTATCTAAGTGTCCTGTGTTTAATGGTATGCTCAAATTTTGTTATTTAAATATGTACATGATTTCTCTCTTAAAATTGAGATAAACATACTTGGAAGGAGAGTTTGTAGCAGTGCTCTGATGTTTTGTTATGCCGTGTTGGTGAATCTGAACTGTGAGGTTGCTCTTTATACAGGAGCTAAACTTCAGTTGCTGCTTATGTATACTATTCCTCATTGCCTGTCCACTCACTTGGTTCAACTGGCAGACAGCTTAGACTGGTATATTGTGAAATTGTGAAAGTGAGCATCACAATACTTTTTTTTTCTTTTTCTTTTTACCCTCTGCAACCTCGACTGTAAGCAATAGCGATGGATCAGGATTTATCCCAGCCTTTGTAATTTTAGAAGTGAGAAGAAGGATCTGAGACATATATAGGAAATCATTTGAATTTAAAGAGCCTTCTCAGTTTTTAAATATGTTTCATGCTTCCTTAAGACAAAGAAGCTTAAGGTTTTCCAGTGATGACTGACAAGAAGGAACTAATTACATATATGTAATATAAATCTATATGTGTGTGTATGCACATATATATACACACATATATATACATGCGTATATATACACACACACACACACACACACACATATATATATAAGGCATAAAAGTCTGGATTGTCATTTGGCAGATGCAATAGCTTTATCTGGGTGTAATAGGTGAACAGTGACCAAATGGCATTTGTTTACTCAACTCTGGCATATTGAACCCTCTGAAGAAAGAGTATCTATGGGTGCCATGAGTAATAACCAATGTGGTTTGGCCCTCAACATAAGAATTTTTACTGCAATGTAAATCAAGAGCTGTGAGAATGAATTTCTAATAAAAGACTTCTTAGAGGCAGTGTCTTTGATCTTTCATATTGCAAAACAGATTTAGTTCCATTTGGTTGAACTGAAGGTTGTTAATTGCTACATTCTACAAATTACCTTTTTTTTTTTTAATTACAATAATTTTTCTTATGAAAAAATAGATGAGGTATGGAACATGTTCAACTTGGCTGGATTAACTGAAATACAGAATTTAGTTGATCGGCGATTACAAGTAAACAGGAAGAAAAAAGTGAAAATGCAGCGAGTTTGGATACAAAGCAAGTTCCAGAAACCGTTGCTGTCTCTGCATAATCCTGAAGAAACAACCAAAAGGCACCCTTATAAATAAGTGTACTCCAGAAATGTAGTACAGCAATGAACTCCAGAAACGGAAGCAAATTGGAGTACGTGTATTTCCAGTAAACGTTGTGTTAGCCACTGAAAAGGATAAATATATTGAACTGAAAATTAAAACCTTTTCCCTAACTTTCTTTTCTTTATAAATAAATATGTGTGAGAAAGATCTGGGGGGGGGGGGAAGGCCATTTCTCACTTCTGCTTTATATGCAATAAAGGGATATTCATTAATCTTTTCATAATTGTGACCAGGCACTATTCTACTTCCTGGAATAGGAATAGTCAATAAGTATATATCTCATTCATATTGAAATTCACAATATGTAAAAAGTTTTACACTGAAGCATGATTTTTTCAGAGATTTAGAGAAACAGAATATCTCTTCTCACTGTTACTCCAAGCTGCACTGTGTTAATTTCTGAGTCATGTCTTTTTTAACCACTGTGTGTCTTGCAACTGTGTTTCCTCTTTCGAGGGAAATTTTTTGGTGCATAAATAATGAAGACAAAATCTCTTTCTGATTTGCATGTAAGTAATTATTCCACACTAACTGCATGTGACATGCACACGTATCATACTAGTCAGTGATTGGTGTCCTCTGCTGTGACTGACTTGTGCTGTTGAAATGTCCACTTTTCATCCACATGCTCATGAGGAACATGCCAAATTCAACTTTCTGTAACACCTTAGTGACACATATATTATATTAAAAGTGTGTAGGTTGTAAACTGAACATGTTTCATATAAAAAAGAACTACCAGAATGCCAAAACAGTGCTGAAAAAAATAGTTAATATTTGTCTGGATAAATACAAACATTATTTTTATGATATGTTAGATATGCTAGAGCGAGGAGCAAAAACAGTAGTCCAGAGTACATTTTATTGTTATTGTTATAGGGTAATGTAATCACACTAAAATGGTAATCTACCTGGCAGCTGAGATATTTTTGTCATTTACAGATAGAAGTTGCTTTCTTAGGGATTGAATATTAGAAAGAAAACAAAATGTTTTGTATTGACCGGGTGGAGAGACAGTAAAGGACAGGACTACAGTAGTACTGCAAATGCTTTTAAGAAGAAAACCAAAATGCAAACACTGTTTTCAAATGCAGAACATGATACTGAGGCTGTAGAGCTAGTAGTTAAAGATGCCACTTCTGCTACTTAAATGTAATTTTAAATCACTTAGCCACAAGGAGAGGACAAGAAACAGGTGAATGAATAAAATAAATCTCTTCTTTCAAAAAGGGTATGGAATGCATGTAACCTATAACATGCAGCTTTGAGTGCCATTAATACAGTGACACTTTCAAAGTTCTTGTTGCTTTTGTTTTAGTCTGAAGGGTAAACATGTCAGAGCTGACAACCGTTGATTTTTTTTTTTTTTGCAAGTTGTTAGCTGCTAAGCTAAATAGAACTGATTATCTTGTAGAAAAAAACCCAATTATCTAAACATGGATATCAAGTAGCTTCATCGTCTTTAACAGGATGAGAGACCTGCTTTATTTATATAAACCCAGATCTGTTTCAAGAATAAGGTACAATAAAGGGAGTTGGAAGGTAGGATCTGATCCTGCATCTTTGGTATATTCTAAACTGCCATAAGACACTGATGAATTAAGAGACTCAGGAAGCTTTGGTTAGCAATGGCATTGTTGTAACCAGCAATAAAACTCCCGCGGTGTAAATCAAAGGTTAAAACACAGCTTAAGCCTTAAGTCTTAAAAGACTATAGTAGTCTTCATGGGAAATACAAATAAATATCTGCTTATATTTTAATTATGTTGCTGCCCTGTTTAATAATTGTGATTTCTGAATATACAGAGCTCTTAGTATAATACAAATCGTTTTCACTTGTAGAATTTTCTGCGACTGGTGATGGTGATAAGCTCCTGAGCATCATGCAGTCTTACTCATGTATGTGATGTAGATTTTCCATGTGTAAGGGCCAATATAATGTTTGCTTTGGCACTCACAAGGATATGTTGATTCTGGGAAGGCTTTAATATACTATGTTGTTAGTTTAACAAAAATGTGACATCAGAAGAAACCAAAACCTGAATTTTGAATGGCCTTAAGCGAAATTGTTTCTCTTCTACAATTTGCAAAATAAGTATTGGCTGTTTCTTTGAGAATAATGGTGCCTGCTTTAGAAGTAATAAGATCAACTACTATTTATTAATGTAGAATATCCACTGTCTGAACAGTCATAAGATTCATAAAAGGGGAGTGGAAATGGAAAAAGACATCATTCCCTATAAGAACTTCTGAATCTGAGTAAGACTTTCAGTATTTTGGTTTCATGACATTTCAGTTTTCAAAAAGCTTAATCAAGGACATATTTTTAAAATATTTTCAAATTATCTGTATTAGTTGGGAAAACTACTATTACAGTATTGTCAAAAAAAAGAAAAGAGATGCAGAAAACTATATAGGAAGTGCAGTTTAAAATGTCTTATTGTTAATTAATTTCTGGAGGAAAAAAGAAATTAGTTTATTGCAACCAAATGTGCCCAGTCTAGAAAAAGGCTTTAAGTTTCATTTTTGACATCTAAAGTTATTTCTTTACTCAGATACGTACCTAAAATTAACTTATAGAAGTACTCATTCTATAAAAACATTTTAATTTATAATTGCAAATTTTCTCTAATTTTTTTTTTTTTGTTCAGCATGACTTCCTAATGGCAATTAGAGAAAGGTAATCTTATTAGAATTGAGCTTTGGCTTCATTGGCTTTGGTTTGCTTTCCCAATAGTGTGTACTTTTTGCCCATCTCCGCTGGTATTGTATTACATTTATATACATGGCCACTTGAGAAGGGTACTTATTGGTCTAGACCTTTCTTAGTTTTGAAGCAAG